ATGGAGGAGATGCAGTATATAATAAGCGGTGTGGCCAGCGCGGTGGACTCGGATGGAAGGCGCCTGACGCGTGGCTCTGGATTGTGATTTGTCAATAAAGCCTGTTCTGTTGTACCAGTCTTTTACCTATTAGGGCTCGGGTATTCTACATGGAGACGCAAAAGGGGCGCGGCCATTAAACAATGCCGGCCTTAGCCAATCCTCTATCTCTCTGCGTTCTCAGGGCATGCGAGGAAGATAAGCAGCTAACCAGAGAAAGCCACGAATGAGGCGCTGTATATAATGAGCGGCGTGACCAGCGTGATGGACTTGGATGGGCAGCCTTTGAATGTGATTGTGGCTCGTGATTAGTCAATAAAGCCTGTTCTGTTGTACCAGTCTTCTTCAAATCAAGGCCCGCATATTCTCCAGCAGCTACGGATAAGGGCGCAGACATATTGGACCATAAGGACTCAGCCAATCCTATGTCTCTCTACGTTCCAATGGCATGCGAGGAAGATATGCAGCCAACCTAAGTAAGACACCAATGCGGAGCAGAATATATATTGCAGCGTGGTTGACTTAGGTGGACGGCGCCTGACGTGTTGTTGTGTCTTGTGATTAATCAAGAAAACCTGTCCTGTTGTACCAATCTCCTTCACACTAGGGCTCGGGTATTCTACACTAGCTACGTATGAGGGCGCTGACATATTGGGCCACGCTGACTTTAGCCAATAGTCTGTCACTTTATTTTCAAATGGCATTCGAGGAAGACATGCAACTAACCAGAGATTGACACTAATGAAAAGCGGTATGTGATGAGCGGCGTAACCACGGTGGTGGACTCGGAAGGACGGTGCCTGACGTGTGGTACTTGCTTGTGATTGGTCAATAAAGTCTGTTATGTTGATTCGGTCCTCTTCGTACTACTGCTAGGGTATTCTGCGCTAGATCTGAATCAGGATGCATCTCACAGAACTCAGCCATTTCTTACTCTAAAGGTGTCTCAATGCCCTGCTTAGAAGATCAAAGGTCAAACAGATACATTGATTGGTTTATAAGGTGCTCTGCAGCTATTTTGGTAGTCTTATATTGGTAGGTGTGTTGTATGTATTCCTGACTTTTAATTAATCTACAAAAGTTGCTTCTTTGTATTAGTCTTCTCTACACTCTGGGTAAGGTGGTCTACATGCCGACGTATGGTCGCCGTGATGCTTGCTCGAAGGCTAGTTGAAAAAGTGTCCACCATGCACCTGTACGAAATCAAGGATCGGTAATTAATATCTGTAATAGGTGGCGGATCTTAGACAGTTTGTCAACTTAAATGCAACGACATCGTAGCAACAAACAAAACCTTGAGGATCCTCAAATTAAATATGCTAAACTACTTATTTAGCTGCAAAAAACAGTACAATTTTGCTTATGAAAATGAAGAGCTCCAGCTGCAGCTTGTAAAACCAAATATGCGACCGGTTGGTTTTGGAATTAATATTCATTTGATGAGTCACATAATGTGAACAGGATTACTCATGTTTTTACATGCATGATATGACGGCAAATACAACTTCGACTGAATTTATTCAGACTCTTAACACTAATTTGATGTAATCGTCTAGTGCTAGAGTCTATTTCATCAATATATAAACAGCTGCATCCTTCAACTGTATACTACAATCTCAGTCCGAAATCAATAGCATCCTTTTCTGATGAAGATGTCATATGGGCTTGCTCAAAATTCGCTGTATTTTTCCTGTTTAATATTAATTTCATTCCACTTAAATCGCAATTCGAAAATACCTCACCAAAAAAACTGTCGGCTTTCAACCGTGGTTTTGAATGATACATCAACGCTACTGCGATCTGCATAAATGCCCGGAACTCACGAGAACCCGACATTTTGTCTCATTTGATGTAGTAACGTGCCACGGTCTTCTTTAGTATAGTCCGACACATCAGAAACATTAGGATGTGCCTTTACTGTTCCAAAATCTACGCACTATCCGTATTCGGTAGTTTGTTAATCTTGAACAATCTAAAATCCATGCGTATTGAACTAGTATCTGCTGACATGACTAAAGTTAGCCCACCCTGACTCAACCCATGATGTACTGCATATGCCGCAGTTAACCCTCCAGCATTTCCCCTCTATGGTTTCACTTAAACTAAAGTCAGTATCTCATTTAATAACCCGATCACCGCATATCAGGAAGAAGCCCGAACGGCCTTGAAAGGTACCCATTCACCTAAATCCTACCTTATGGTAACACATACTTATGCATCAAGATCTTGCATGATCTACCGAACCGAACCCAAGTTGTATTTAATCACCAAGGTTACAAGATTAGACTATCCACTCTATGGGCATTCAGCTGACATGCAAGTTTACATTTTCACATTTCAGAACTAGCACCAATGCTGTTTTAATTGAGCGGTTTGCCATATAAGGTAGTTGACAAGTGCCATTTAAAGATCACACGCGAAGGATGTATCGCCACCAAAGTAGCACTCAAATATTTCCTTAAATAAAACAAGAATAGTACACATGTACAGATGAGCACATGATGCCTGATTTATCACAATTACGTTAGATCTTCATTGATCTTTGTGCATGGTGGCCACTTCGACTGGAAGTCCGCGTGGCACTCAGAAGGCAACCAAGCGGTTAGCTCCTTCGAAAGGACTAGAACGAAAATGTTAGTTAATAATAACAGCAGCTTACATTGAGCATCCTCTGATAAACAGGCCTCTAGCGTCCTCTTCGAGATGACTTTCTTTCCGAGCATTTTTGAAACCAGGTCTCTTACCTCTGGACGAACTCTAAAGGAACCAAATTCGTCTTTCAGTGGTAAACCCAGATTTTGATCTCTAAAATCTACTAGTGGAGTAGGACAAACATGCTGAAAGTAGGAATGACTTCATCTAAATGTAATGACCTCTTAGAATCACTGTAGATGACACGGAAACACACCCTGGAATGAGAAACCAGGAAATTTCAATAAAGAACTTGATAATTCTACATTTCTATGGTTCTAGCCTCAAAATTGCCAATGGATCTACTGACCTTCCGATGAAATCAATCAAACATGGCTGGGAGAACATATTCGTGTTGCCCAGGGCAGCGCAAGCAAACCATCATTTGCGATTAGCAGTGAGCACTGATGACCATGATTTCACCTATTACGACCACAATATCACTCCTTGCGATATTATCAATTTTAAACAGCATGAACGAACAACATACAGGCCCCATGAAAGTGTGATCATGCGGGTTGGTGTGGATGTCTTGAGGCGTTTGGGGAACCAGGCAGCAAGCTCCTTCGTGTAGACTTTACCCTCGAGTAGAGAACGTGCGAACCACCGAACTGACCAAACAAGAGCCTCGTGTACTCCAATACAGGCAGCCGCTGGGGCCGCATGCAAAGGAATTGGCACATGGGATGAGGGGAGGTCGAATGCTGGATCGCCACCCGAAATATCCGCGTTGGCCAAGTCTGAGCCAATAAAGAAGACGCGTTTGGCATACGCCATGACAGAATCGCGTTCAGGGTCGTAGTAGGGTGCAGGCAGGCCGGTGGCTGCGGCGGAAGACTTTGGTTTTGTTTCTTCAGAAGATGTTTTGTCTTCAGCAGAAGATTCGACAGGCGTGGACTCCATCACGGTGATTCCTTCAACGCGGTAACTGTGGGGAGCCAGAAAGGGTATCCAAGCCGGGTTGATCGCACACACATCTGGAAGTTAAAATTCAACTGGCCTCTGAGAAACCACAAGCCAAAATGCAGCAACCGGAAATTTGACATTTACTGTATACTGAAATTGGAGTTAATTCCAACCTTGTTTGCCCACACACAGTGCATTGTAGTTCGGGAACAATGTTAGGTACTCATAAATAACAACATCCAGGCTCTATTGAGCCCCTAGAACGTTGTTCCCCGTGTTAACCCATTGATGAGGCAGTAGTTTAATCTTTAATTTGAGAAAATATTTTGCACACGACCACCTCTATTCTCGATCATTAAAACTTGCTGCTACCCGTTTGGCATTGTATAATGAGAAGGTTAATATAGCCAATAACCACATGATCATGTGGGACGTAAAGTCAACTGGAGTCGCATTGAGATATGAACAACTTGTAACAAATTTATTCAACCAAAAACGTAGCTTGGCAGTTTCAAACATTGCACAAGCTCCCCTGTTATAGAATATCGACGAAAGCTTTTCGGAACAAGCACCGTCAATCTCGAGTATAACGGTTTACTCTCGATTTATAAAGAGCGTTATCCAATTTTAACTGATCACTTTCATCAGTGAACACAAACTTCGTTAGAGTATCACGGCCAACAACATAGATCCGTTTCATTCCTGTGTTCCGTCAAATGGGAGACATTAGCACTTCCAACATTGACAGAACACAGGTCCGAATGTGCGTTGTAAGGTCTTTTGGGTCAAAAAACCGTAGTACTGGAGTACCAAAATCAAGTGAACTTGAAAGGCAACAAAACGTACTCCGGAGAAACGGTTTCGAACTGGTGTGGAGTTCGGTGTAGGCTAGAAAGGTGCAATTTTCTCGAGCAAGAGGCGAATTCGGGTCGACAAATACAGGGTCCGAAACGCCAGGTACCTAAAAAATCAGTGGAGGAACTTGACGGAAAAACTTTTACCATTTTAGCAGATAAAAAGTGCACACGAGACCGGCATGCACAGACGGCAGCTCGTGCAAAATAGTGAATGCACTTTCTGAAACAGAAGATCTATGTTAACAAAAATCTAATGATGTCAACTTGCCTTGTACGCATACCTAAGCCGTCGACGGTCCTTCACCGGCAATCCCTCAACCGGCAAGTCAAATTTGGCGGCCAAGTGACACACCGAACCCACTAGAAACAGTTGTCTAAGTTGTTCTACTTGAGTAGGTGTTGGTTTAGCTAGAGCGGGCTCAACTTGTAGGTTAAGGTCCGGCACGTTGGCATTCACTAAAACGGCATCACAGTGGCTAAGAACGCAGTGTACACGTACACTGATTGCCTATTTAAAATAAAGGAAGAAAGACAACCTACGGATATCTGTGAGTTGCAGTCTGAGTTGACGGACCTCCAAATAGGCCTTCCACCGAACACCGCACTTCTGAACTAATTGGCGCATCGTCGCCTCGGGATTCACACGCGAGACACGATCGACAATGGACGGGAGCGCACTCCCCTCGTCGGCTGGAATCGTGCCGATTAGCTGGCCCCAGTATCTCTCAAAGCAGCACACGGAGCCGATGAGGACCGCCAAATCACCAAGCATTAAATCTCCCTCCTACAATGCAAATAAGTGTTCGTGTCGGTTTAGCACAAAGATTTCAACTAGATGATAATGCACGATGACAAACAGATTTTTGTTGAATTCAGTACTTTTTGAGAAAGCCGTTGTCACGTTGCTGTGGTGTGCATATTCATGTCAAGAAAGTAGCAAAGTAATGTTGAAAGCAAGAAAGGAAAAATAACAATAACTGGAATCGGGGAAAAATGGAGGTTGGAGCGACTAATGCTGAGTATCATCAAGTAAGCAGATGGCAGTGCATGCAGAATCCCATGACAACACATGAGCATGTAACTTAAGTTAATTATCGTTATCAACTGTCCCCAGCGCCTTCAAGGAAAACCTCTCACCAACATTTTTTTAATCTCCCGTTGGCAGTTCAGCCTTTATCGACACAAACTCAAATTTATGTAGTTTGCAGCAATACGAGGCCCCAAAATACATGCGTTTTCTCGTCATTGAAAATGAAATGTGCAGGGGTACTATCAGTCAACGAAAAGACCATTGATGTATACACCACCGTGCGAGACATGCACTTCCCAAGACTAACAAATAAATAAAATAAGCCCAAAAGGCACAACAATGTGATTTTTACGTCCACACCACACGCGCCACCAGTCCCTCACCGTCTTAACGAACTGACGGAAAAAATTTGTCCGGATTTGGGCGAGTTTATCTGCCTCGTTGTTGCCCCTCTTCCGTTTCTTCCCAGATTCCATCGCGTCTGTGGTCGCAGGGGAATCGGACTGGGAGTCGACCAGGAAGAAGTCGGGGACTGACAGGACGGCAACGAGGACGACTGCATAGGGCATGAGGTTGTGCTGGTTAGCAAAGAGCAGCATCCGGGCAAAACGAGCGGGCAGCGGCAGGCGAGCCATCCACCGACCGGCGCGTGTTATTGTCCTTGTCACCTCTACGAACAACAAACAATGGTGAAAATTGGTAAACGCATGAGTTTGTGAAACCTTTCCAGGGTTGCAGCATTGCAAGGCCGAAAGCTACGGTACCTGCGTGGAGAGCCACGTTAATTCAACCATACAAAAGAAGATTTTCACATCGAATTGTCGTTTACCGACATAGTTCAATTGCTAATTAGAGTTTGTTCCTCGTCTGGTTGCCAAAGTTTAACTGTAAAGACAAAATTTTATACAATCAGACATCTGCGTGATTAATGAGCAGGCGATCTATCAAAATGCAGACACAGGGATTTCCTGATGATGAACTAAACTGTTTTAATCTTTGCGAACTTGCAAAACGGCCTCTGGACAGAGAAATGAATGGAGACAAGGGATATCACATTGCAAATATCCGTGCATGCGACTCTAGATGTTACCCAATAAAACGGAATTAGTACTTCAGGCTTATTTAGCTTGGATGTGTGGCCTAGTCGAGAAAACGGTGGAAGAAAAAGGCAAACCCGTTCAAGTCTCGCCGGACATACATATGGAACAAAACGCCACGCCAAATATGGAAATTAATACCAAATCAGGCACGCCAATGAGAAGACGCAACCAATTGAATGTTTGACACAACTGTTTGTGGTGTTTAGTGTTTAGGAACGACATGGTCGAATAGAACTTGGAGTATCTCACCAGTAGAGCGATTCGTGTGGTGATGCTGCATGAAAAACAAGCAAATGGAATACAGCGACCTACCTAATCCATTCTTCTTCTCCTCAAGTGCGCCCAGAGCAGTGAGTCGCCTTTCTGCCGCTTCCACGGAATTGGCCGAAGGAGGTGTGGGCAGAGGAAAACGCGAAAGCGGAGTGCTCCCCAAGTATGACTAAAACAATAGGTGTGTCAGAAGTGATGTTCACGTGAATTGCCAACGGCGTTCAACCTAGAGTCATTCGTGTCGTTTGGTGCCGCTAGACAAAAAAAAACAGAAGAAACAAACCTTCAGCAGCAGCACGACTTCGTCGATGGGTCGAGTGAGGATGTCGGGCGCAGAGAACGGGGCCATGTCGTCGCCGAAGACCCGAGAGGAGTAGAGACGGTAGCAGTGGCCCGGCCCGATTCGGCCCGCCCGACCTGCTCTCTGCACTGCCGAGGCCTGGCTAATCCAGACAATGCGGAAGCACGAGGCACCAGTTCCTGCATCGTAAATTTTCGACTTGACCTAAAACATCAAATTAAACAGCATTATTCCTAGTACGCGATTCGTTAGGAAGATACCAACAGCAGTTTGACTGTTCAGAACTCTATCAAAGCACGACTATCGGAACTCAACTTGTAACGGTGACGCTAGCAATGATTAGGAAAGGACTTAGGGTAGGGCTCGTTACCTTTCCTGTGTCGACAACATATCGAATATTGGGAATGGTGAGTGATGTTTCGGCGACATTGGTTGCCACGACAACAAGTCTTTGACCTTCAGGCGGGGGTTCGAATACGCGTCTCTGTTGATCCGCAGGTAAAAGTGAGTAAAGAGGGAGGGCACAAATCGGTGTCTGGAAGATAATTTGATAGTGCAAATGTTATATTGTAAATAAGAATTAAAACTTTTACGTTAAAACTGATAAATTATTACCAAATAGAAGGTCTAACCCATTTTGCTCGCAGAATAACAGGTTTGTCGGTATGGAAGTGCAAAAATTAATCAGACTCCACTGACTTGGTCACGACACGCAAAAAATTAAGTTAGCTCATCGGTCCTGGTATGTTTTGAAAATGTCTACAGGAAAATGTCATTGGTAGAAAGTTCGCGAATTTCACGAGTACGACCTAATATACCAGAACAGCTTACACTCTTGTTCCGAAAAAAAGCACAAAATGTAAAAAAGTAAACGCACATCTGGTGTCTCCTTGTCAGATTCACGCAGTTCACGGAGGACCTCGTCGTCAAGAGCATCATCAACGCTCGCACCGTCACTCTCCACCTCAGTGTCGTCAGCATCCGCTGCGACATTTCTTGTGGGCGACCTACCCGTTCGCTTGCTTCCACTTCCCAGACCCAACTCTGTTTCCTCGTCGACGGGAATAATGTCAAAACTGCAAAAACGCAGATGGAGACTTTTTACCTCCGTATCATTCGGCGCCATTTAGCACAGAAATTGCCATCAGACTAACGGTTTGCACAACCAACAGAAGTTCCTTGTGAAAAAATTCATTTGGGTGGTAATTTATGTGGACGCTCGAAATTTTAGGGTTAATGGAAGTGAAAACCACAGATGGACACGAACTCAGCTGAAAATGAGCAATTTTAAAGGCACAAGACATCCCTGCCAAACGAATTGGTACATGAATAGGTGAATTCACATGCAGTAAAACGACCCTAGAAACGGTAAAAACAACAACGACAATAGTGCAAAAAACTGAAGTTCAAACACGATTCCATCGTCATACATTGCTTTCATTTGTACGCAAGTCTCCATTGAAATAAAACAAATTCGAGGCAAACTATCACCTCAGTAGCGATCTAATTTGGCTGCAGCCAGTACCCAATTATCAAATTATACGAATGATCACAGTACTTAGGGACTGAAGAACACGAAATACTGCTGCATTGTTCTCTTCAGAACAAATAAAATCCGTCTAACGTATCTGGGAACTATGTCAAAGGGCAACTTACTTATCCAAATTAAAACGCGATATCGAGGGGGCTTCGTTCATTCTAGGTCCAGCCTCTGCAGCATTAGTGAAGATTTCCTGATTCTGAGTTCGTCTCTCTCTTGTCGTTTCAGTATTCTCCGGTTTCGCTTCAACATCAGCTTTGGAACGCTTTCGCCTCTTCGCCTTGCTCCTGGTGGGCCTTCGCTCGGGTGCATCTTCGTTCGTATCAGCTGATACTTTACTTGCTGGAAATGCCTTGGTGAGCCAATCGCACAGCGTTCGAACCTCGCGTTGACCAGTCAAAAATACCAGGATTCCGCCTGGCGGGGAATCCTTGTGAATGCTCACCACCTAAATTTTGCAAAAAAAATTGATTTCAAGTTTAAGACTTCACGAACTCTTCTCCAAAGCGTCTACAAGGAAATAGCTTGTCAAATCTCATAACCTGACAGCTTTTTGTCAAAGAAGTACATAGTCCATGTCATACTTGGACATTTATTAAGGCAAATTTCGTCGGCAAATGTGAATATTGAACTGACTACGATTGTCATTTAACAATACATGAAAATGAAAAAAAAACCATAAACACGATGATAAATCTGGTGGGCGTGCAGAAACTCAAACGGAAAATGTCTACTAATTTGGTACTTATAAGCTTGTAGATAAGTTATTGGACAACGATTCTGCCGTGAAGAGCAGATGCCAAGCATTGTTTGAGCTTAAGACAGCCTCCGCCGATACGGAACGAGTAATTGCATGCAATCGCAGGCAATGATTTGCATTAATGGCACGCTTGTCAGCACAACGGGTGGGATGAAAAATGTTTCATGCACTTTGACTTCATACTGTAACACTATAGACCACATTAATCACTAATAACAAACACCCAAAGGTAAGGTATCAATTAAAATTATAAGGTCGGAGTCAGCCAAGAAAGTGGACACTGTCCACCAAAACAACGACAGATAAAACGTTTACAGATACATAAAAGTAACTAGGAAGCTGTGGTGTATCTGTTAAATTCGTCTGTTTTGAGATGCGAAGAAAATTCTTTACTAATAACTGCGCCAAATCTTTTCTACACCAGCTATTAGATTTAACTACAAAGTGGAAAAATTAATTTCAACGCCACAATGAATAAAAATAAGCTAGAACCAACACAATACCTTAAACGTAAAGTAGAATAGAGTCTGAAACTTAGGTTTGGTGTGCGAATAACAACACTAAATTCAACACGGACTTAATTATCGCTTACCTTGCGGAATGCTGCTTTTAAGTAGTCATCAGGCGTGCAACGGGAAAAGTGGCACGTAACAGGGAACTGCCTGGATCCCACCTTTAAAACAGGTGGTGCACCAGGCCTCGTCTTTTTTTCTTCATCATCATCGTCATCGTCTATACCGTGTCCACTTTGCTCTTCTGCTCCTTCAATTGTGGGAAAAAGCTGTCGATTGTCGGCAAAGTCCTCAACCCTCAATGTTGCTGACATTACAATTAGCTTGAGTGGTAAGACAGCGCTGCTAGGATTCTCGTTGTAGGCACGTCGACGTAAACGTGTTACGAGGGAAAGTAGACCAAGTAGGACATCGGTGTAGACTGAGCGTTCGTGGGCTTCGTCAATCACGATTGCAGAGTACGAGGACAGCTGAAAGTCCTACGCAAAAGATTGAATCATTTCTTACAAGTTCCTATGTGGGAGAACTCAGACAGAAAAGGAACGATTTATTCAAGTCAATGAAAATATGATTTAGGATCGGGTACTCAATGACGACTGGAAATCATGCGACAATTAGCCCAAGAGTTAAGCCTTCCTACGAAAATTAAAAGACACATTTAGGCATTGATAGACAGCTAAAAATGAATTGTGCGTCATGTTATGACTATAACATGTAAATACAATTTGTGACATCAAACACATGTGGTCAAATATAACACAAAATCGAACGAGACGAACGCAGCTACTCCCGACCATACAGTGAGCAACCACACCAATATGCCAAATCAGGAAAGCAAAGAAAAAAATGATAAATACTCTGGTATCAGAAGTCACTTGACACACCTTTTTCATTTCTTGAAGTAGGATGCCGTCCGTCATAAATTTGATTATGGTATTCTGAGAAACGTTTTTCTCATAACGAATGTGGTAGCCGATTTCACTTAGAGAAGGAACAAGAGAATTCACAATGAATTGAGATTTATAAAGCGCGAAGAAAAAAAAATAAAGCACTTACCCGTTCCTCAAACCGAGCTCTTCGGAAACACGTTCGGACATGGAAATTGCAGCGACACGCCTTGGTTCCGTTACACCAATTTTATAGCCGTCTCTTGAAGATTTATAACATGGGTAAAATTACAAAGTATTCAAGCTTTTTTTATAAAACAGATTGTAGATGTAAACGCTATGTGAATAAAAAATAGTTCTGGTTTACCTCGCGTATCCAGCCTCGTAAAGAAATTGAGGAACTTGAGTCGTCTTTCCACAGCCAGTGGCACCACAGATAATAACTACATCATTTTCGCTTATTTTTTCCATGATATTAGCCTCTTCAGCAACAATTGGAAGAGCGAGACGGGATGTTTGGATTTCAGGACTTCTGTTGACAAGTACGTATTTTGTTTTTACGCGAGTCTCAGAGAGGACGGGTTTGCTGATTTCCACTTCCACTGGTTTAACCAAGTCACTTTTCGAAGGACTTTCATGAAGGTCACCGTCTAAAGTTTCAGCTTCGCAAGTTTTAGAAGTAGAAGTAGGACCAGTATCTTCCGGCTCAAATTCTTCTGTGGATGTGAAATCATCAGTATCCACAGACGAATTAGCAGAACTGGACACTGGTTGACACCAATTTTTGGACTTTTTAATGGACGTGTGTGTCAATCTGAAATCAGTAGGGATCATGAGAAGAAGACACTACTTTGCTGCTTTTCTTTCCGATTTTCGATTTCGACTAAATAATGTATGGACTGCAGGAGTGACGGCGTTCTGGCCAGTCAAAGCCTCCAGCTCTTTCCACAACTCATTACGCTATTGGTTTTGTGTTAAAGTTAACAGAAACAAACCGTTAACTTTTTCTGCTTTTTAGCAACCTGTTTCTGAAGAAGCTTCCTTTTAGATCGCGATAAAATTCTTTCTGTTTTAATTGTAACCGTCTTCCCCTTTTTTTGCTTGCTCTTTTTTGAGGGCAGGACCAAGGGGTTGCTTTCATCATATTTCCCATCAAGCAAGTAATCCTCCACCAGCTTTTCAGCCATGTGCTAAACAGTGCACCAATAAGTCAGTTTGTTCAGGCTACCTTGTCACGAAGCGGAATAACGTGCCTCGAAAATTATGTGATCACAGAAATAATTTTTTGGTCATTTAATTGTTTTGCACTGCTCTTTTTTTAAAAAAATTACACACTAAACAATTTGTTTGATTATTTTCCCAATTCTGCTACTGCGGTAGCAATTATACAGATCCTAGTTTCATTCCAATCCATTCTCGTTCGGCGGTGTAAATATAAGTTCAAACTGGGATATTCTGTAGTTACTCGTAGTTATCGTCACAAAATTTCTGGATGTCATTATTGTCTTATTACTGCAGGTGTAATTACTTGCTAATGTATACTACCGATCGCAACCTAATTTTCCTCCTCTGCTTTTGCCGTTCCGTCTATTTAACGTTCTTCTTAGGTGCTTTGTCATGTTTTACAATTTTTTTAAAAATGGCTTTGAACCTCTAAGTTGTAAGTTATTTGCCAAACTTTGTACCTACTTTTGCCGGACATCTCATTAACTATCCTCAAAAACGTTTTCGTTTATAAGTGGTATAATAAACCAAATTTTGGTCTTTATGTCTACTGTTACTGTACAATTTCTAAAAGACTAAATAAATAGCCCGTCTCCAACATTCCTGTGGCAACTAAAGTTTCTCAAATTAAATAATTTAATCTAAACATCAAAGAATATTTTTGGTTGTGAAACAAACAGAACGTGTCATTCCAGATATTTATCGTTGATTATTCAAGGAATGTGAAACCAAATTGAGATTGCTTGCGTGGATTTAGACGCTTAAAATGGAAGTTGTTTGGTGGGGACAACCAAAGTTCCCGAGAGATTGTTTATGCTTCAAATCAATTTTTATTTCACCCACACACTTAACTAGATATAAATAGGGTGATTTGTTATTCACAGTAGACATAATCGAGGTTCCTCCTTTAGTCATAATTCGCAAAATTAGCGACTGATTTGAGCTGTCCATACGCGTTGTTGCCAGTCAAACACATTAGTTATCCGCCTCAAATGATTATCTGCTATATAGTAACGCCGAACTCTCACATAAGGCCATTACGAAGCTTTATGACCCTCGGAAAAGTTGATTTAATTAGCTATTCTCGAATGGAAGACCAAATAATCGGGATCTCAGCAGCAAAAGCGCAATGTCAAATCAATTGTCAAGGAGTGATTTGTGTTATAAAGCAATTAGAAGTGAGTCTATTTAAGTTATTTTAAATTTAGCGTGTTGTCTATTGGACTACGGACCATTAGTGTTTTTGATTGGTTACGTACATTGTTCCAGCGTTCATAAAATGGACTGCACCAAATTGTTTAGAGTTTATCATGCTACTCGAGTGGGTAAAATAGATTCTAAATTCCTGCAAACCAGGTTAAAAAGTCAGTTCTGTAACCTATCAAGTTTAGAATCCATCAATCCGAAAGCTTTCAGGTAGCGGCTGTGTTTGCCTGCAAAAAATGCATCCCAAAAATGCAAATGCTAGACTGTTCTGCCACAAAAGTGGGATACCAAATAGGAAAAGACACGACGTAAACATGACCTCGTATTAAGGGCTTTTGTTGTATAAGCCAAGGCCCGTTCTTGAAGTCAAAATTGGTCCAACTGTATATTGGGTGACCTTGAATTCAAATTGAGAATGTCAATGTGGACATACATTAATGAGATGTTAGTGAAGTGTTTTAGAGGTGATGTGAACAAATAAAAGGCGTGATTATAGGGACTATACAAGCAGAGCTAAAAGCTCAATTCAGCCTGCAGCTGTTCTGATGATGCCGAGGAACTAGCGGTGGTTCAGCTTTGAGTCAATTTGCAGTAATGTCTTTTAGCTGGTGTCTACATTTACATTGTCATGGAAGTGTTTTTTGGCACACTACCACTAGGTCAGGGTGCAGCAGAACTTTTGAGTCTCCTGTTAACTTCAACATGTCAAAATGGTTGAACAGCACGTCCCGCGGTATTCTTGTTTGTGAGTTCGGTGTCCTCAGACGTTTTCTCCGTCTAAATTGATTTAGACGCTTTGACGAAGTGTCGTGACCTACCACCAAATTGAATATGATCTTTCGGTGTCTGTTATGGTTTATTAGCCGAATCAAAAGCCCGGTTAACTCCATGTATAATCAGACTTTCGTGATCGATTCTCTAAAAATGCCCTAATAACCCTTTATCGGTTCACTAGACTTACTCGCACCAATTTTATGGGCCTACGGCTTTCCCACTTATCTATTCATTTACATCGAGCATTTAGCGTTTACTTTGAATCGTGTCTGTTCACTACTCCGTTTATTGAAATTCCTACGGTGAAGCAAGTCGTGAATATATTCGACGGATGTCATCGGGGATTGTTTAAAGCAACTTATTCAAAATTGCGTGAATCTAGATTAAGCGATGATGTCCCAAAGTTTTCATCTAAATCAGTTGATGAAACACGTGCATTACAAAGTACATGGAGAGTAGAAACAAGCTTCAACGCAATCGCGGTAACATTCATTGTAGCATGTATTGACCAAATGATAGAATTTTTAAGTACTCCTGACACCTTACTTGAGCACTAGGAAAGTAGGAGATAGTAAATCATGTCGCTCGCTGACACATTCAATGAAGTGTGTCCTGCTAGTCCATCTTCCATGAGATAGGAAAACATAGTAGCACAATGAAGCAACACACTACCCATAGAGCCAGCAACATGCTAGTAACTGTGGGGTCTTTTCGGGAGTATAGGTTCAGGAATGACTTTAAATTAACCGACATGTTTGGAAACAACTCGGGAGGTAAGATCTGGGTCCCGTCGTTTGCAACAAAACAACTGCTGCCTTCGAACTGAAGCAAGGTGATCTTTATAAGCGTCGTTCTTACCAAGCCCAGCAAGAATATCAGGAAGAATTGCATCGAACATACCAATAACAATAATGCAAAGAGGGCTGTACAGAATGTGCTGCACTACAACACGCCGATGAGGGACATACACGCCGGCATCATTTGGACTCTACAGTGTTCTTGTATGGCTAAATCACAAAGTAATTCGTTCAAGAAAGCTCGTCAAGTTTCAGGCCTTTTCGTGTCCGATGGGGATGAATTATCTGTTGAAGGAGGCGTTGGCGAAGCAGAAGACTTCATTGCCTGTAGCTCTTCGTCTATACGCTCCTTTGCCCGAAAGACCTGAATAAAAAACGCATTCTTCAAAAAAAAACGACAAAGCGAGGTTTAAGTGCTTGCACCCTTCTGGCAAGCCACCAATTATTTAGTAAACGTTTTCAAATCCGTACAAGTCTTCACAAATTTATGAAAAATATCAATGGTAAAAATACATGGTTAACAGTTGAAAATCGACAAAGATTATGCCATCTTCATCTACGAAAGCCTGGATAAATGCATGGATTTGTGTTTCTTGGTGTGCCACAGTATACAGTCAACACAACTACCACAAAACGTGGCGGCTTTGCTTCTAAAGATATTTTGCGCGACTTTTATTTCATGGAAGTAATAGTGGAAACTGTGAGTCGTGGAAATAGATTCTCCTTATGGGCGCATCAACCTGTCAAAAGCTATCACTATGAGATAAGAAATAGAAAAAAACCTTCCGGGCAAAACTCGAACACAACACAAATGCGAAAATATGGCGTAAATAATCTTTACAGTCGTTACTGACAGTTACTTCCAATGGAGCATTAACGGAGTTGAATGTCCTTTAGGAAATTCAGATGATTTACAAAAAGAACAAAACAATTGAGCCACACCTAAAAGAAGTAGTTATTGACTGTGTCTAATCAATTATAAAGAGGAAAAGAAGGTTGAGAGATCGCGTACAGCAAGCACATTTCGAAAAAAAGGATTACTGTAACTCAAAGCTACGGACAATTAACATCAGACCCTCAACGGATTGTTGTGGTGCGTAACACACCCCCATGAGAATTTTCGAGTAAAAAGATTAAGCATGTTACTGAATCCATTGAATACGAATACTATATTACGTTGATCATTAATAAACACGGGGTTTCCGCAAAAGAAATCGATTCTGTGCAAACTAGCTGCGACATTAACAAGCAAGAGAAAAAAGACCAACCTTAGACTGCAAGTAGAGCGAGCCTCCCTTCGACTTATCATTCACTTCGAAGAGATGTTCATACTTCTTGAGCACGTTCTCAGTGTCAAATATGTCCGAAACGTTGAGTATCTGCTTAGCTTCCTCCAGCGAGAGACCCGATGTGCTAGATGCATTGGAATCGCTTTTACTAGATGATGATTGACTGGTGCTGGCACGCGCCTTGGCAGCATTTCGACTTGCGGCATACTCTTCTTGCAGGGCTTTGGCAAACGCTCTTCCCAGAATGCGTGATCCCGCGAGAATTATCTGTGCGATGTACTTTGCCTACAAATTATGGACGTAGGAAACAGTACAGGATGTAAGTTTCGGAGAAAGGCACCGAAGTCTAATGTTTAATACTTCAACCGGTAAAGGATGTATGTTGAAACAACTGGTTCGGGAGCCTTTGGTACACAAAAAGGTTCGCACTGTATTTCTTCCAGAACCATGACAAGACAGAGGAAATATTTATATGCTATCTATGAATAGAAATGAGATGGACAGAGTAAGGTATATCATAATTAGTACAAGCACAGAAACTAATGAACTTAGGAATCGCTAAATATTGTGAGTAGTCCACTAAACTAATGACTGGAACGCTAAACATTAGAGTTAAAGGGGTAATGTACATAGTTTTAAATAAAAAATCGCGATATTTATAAACGAAACTCCAGGTGAGGGAAGGCAAGTAGCGAGCATATGTGGTAAAACACGGTAAACACTGAGCAGACAATTCCGAGTAGCAAGACTGGGTTATAGTACATTGATTTGCGAATTGTAAGCTAACGCTGCCTCAGAAAACAAAACGAAGATAACAGAAAACTTAAATCTCCCAAAGATCCTTTGGAAAATGAAGAACTATTAGACAGATACATTTTCAATCGGGTTTCTACCCAGTGTTTCGATAACACTACGCACATTTTTTCATGTAATTTAAACTAATTACCGAGCTGAAGCACAATCACATATAATCCACTAGTCTGACATGAAGTACCTTTACACATTGTATCGAAGCATTTACCTTCTTGTGACTATGCAAGTGCCTATTTAAATGTAACAATTACAAAATCGAAAGCAATAAGGTATATTTAAGGACTCAAAGTGGGGTGAAATCAAAATCTAGTAAGCCGAATAAATCGTAGCAGTAATAAACACAACTCCTTAACAAAAAAGGAACAAAGAGTAGGCAACTTGTTCCACGAATAAAAACAACCAATGTGCATGTGAACTGCAAAATTGGACGAAACCATGTTGGATGTTGCCGTTACCAGCCAATCCTCTGTCCTCTATAGTGGACAGCAAGGAAGATCAGCAGCAAACTAGAGCATCATGTAATGAAGGTTGCTGCCAGTCTGAAGGAATCGGACCGATGGCGTCTGACTGCTGGTTCGGGCTTGTGGTTCTATAAATAAACATCCTCTGCGGTACCTGTCTATGTCATATTAGGGCTCGGGTACTCTTCACAATTACTGTAGTGCGGGAAGGGGTTTTTGTCCAATTAAATCCTGTCTTGAGTTTAGAAAATCCACTGTCGTCATTGATCAATCATAAATTCCTAAACATTGAAGGCCGATCATGATTATCCAAAGCTGTTTATCCAATGTTTCGAACCTCCGAATCTGTTTACATTGAGCTGATTTAGGACAAGTGTGTTTGTTGAGACATAGGTTGGTCCACGAAGACGTTAGGCACATTATAATCATGGCAGAGTGTGTAAAAAAGGGGACATCCCTGTAGGTCGGTACAAAAATTAGCCCTGACCAATTTCTTTACATTACTAATGTAGAGGAGTGTCGAAGTTGAGTTTCTGTCATAGATGCTAGCAATTTTAGATGACACCAGTAGCTTGGCCCTTATTCCTTTGATGTACTTATAGGAAAGATTAGAAACCAGACGAGAAAATGAGGGTTGATAAGCACAAATGTATGCGAAATCACGATTTGTAAGGCAGACCCTGTTAGACGAAATTTTCCAAATTCTTTAAGCCTTTAATTAGTACATTTATGTTTCTTATAGATTCTATATTCTCCTAACTGTATACTTAGTTTTCTGTGCCACATACCTGAAATTGAATATATTATGGTTACCATTAACATACATGATATTCATTGACTACAAAGCCCACTTTTTTCCAAATTTATAATATCTTAAACCTTGAATGTGTTCTTTCTCGCATTGGATAAATCGAGATGTTGACTTGATTCTCGGTTTATGAAGCTGAAATTTATGCATAAAAGCTTTGGATGATCTGAGTCTGTTGAGGTTGCAACATTCCCAAAGTCAAGCAAATAAACACCGTGAGTTATGATAATTATTCACTCAAATTCTGTTCACTGGATTACGACTCTACTGTCACTGCTACTTTTTCGCTCCAAAACGCATTGCTCTCCAAAAAAAAATCAAACGAAACAATCAACCAAACAGTCTTATTGCTACTTTTCCCTTTCTTCTAAAATTCAGACGTGCCTACATAGTGAAATTGGATTACAAACATCTACCGGCCTTGGTCTTAGTATACCTACAATAAATTTTTTTAAATTCCGTCCTCAACCAAAAATTTAGTTTAAATATAAAATTTATATCTGACAACCGGTCAGCTTGATTTTAAACAATAATTTTTATAAGACTTGAGAAGAAAGAATCCTATGCTTTGCTCCATAGTTTCATTTCTTGGCCATAATCATATGCTGGTGCCACGGAGTCGGCTCTGGCCCAATAACAGTGCCTTGCTGCCCACAGTGACAAGAAGCACCTAAAAAGACGTTTACTTTAGACCTCAACCTTATTTGCGTCGTGTCGCGTGCATATTTATGGCCCAGAAGTGTAAAAAGTGTCAGTCGTATATGCACTGACATCAATGCCTAGGTAAATTTTACTGCACACCTACTGATATTCCTGCTTCTCGGTAACGAGAAGAAGGTTTAACGTGACTTTCCGCATAGCAGACGGTACTTTGGAAAAGCGAGAATGGGGTGGCCGGATTAAAGAGTGTAAGTCAACGTGATTCACAGCACGTGGGTGTCATGAAATTCGTTTTAGTAAAAGTATCCTAGAGTCTGCATTTGTGAAGAGCATCAAGCGGGCACAGATAGCAGTCGTGAGCGAACGCAGTTAGCAAGCGTGAGCGAATATGATTCAATTGAATTACATGAATGCGTTTAATCACGTTCAAGGCCGGATGCTTACCAAGGCTGTATAAACGCATTCGTTATCCTTTAGAAATGCGCACCCTATCACTGACATAATAAATAAGTTGAGTTACACATTACCTGCATTTGTCTTATCAGTATTTATCACAGGCCTTGGTGTGGCTCCCCAAAACCGCACTAGGGCATCGCAACACATTAAATGAGCCGTATCGCGTAATCGTTTTTTATAAAACCATGAAAAAGTCTTAAAACTGGGATGATTTCTCCATATTAAAAAAATCAATGAATGTTAAGCAAAAAACGTTAAATTTTAGCAAAACGTGAAATAGTCATTAAATTACTAAAACAGCCTTATCATCCAAATTTCCACAAATTTAATTTTACCAAATATATTCACATTTATGCTTAAGTTATTTAAGGTTTAACAACGGTATTTACATCTATTATCGGTAGTTCTAAACAAATACTGCAGCATTATTGTCTCGCCTTCCTAATACATTCGTTTTATACTACACAGTATACGGCATTAAAAAGTTTCCGCATTTATAAAATGTTTCATGATTATCTGTAGCCCTCTTTGTTATGCCGCTTGCTTGCTTACGTTGGTCAACAGATACCAATAAACATTATTGAATTCTGCATCCTTATTCGGTCAACTGGAGACATTAGCAGCTAAGCAGATGTCACTAAAAGAGCCTGGCTGCAAAATTTTTTTAACGTGCCTATTATCTAAAATAATGAATTATATAACGTAATATAATCCCTATCTCTTTGCTTAAAGGAAACAATTTTTAAATTCTGCAAATATATTACTTTAAGAATAAGGAATCGTAGTTAGCCGAGTATAATAATTAGATTTTCAATCTATAATTTACAGTGAATTTTTTAAAATTTTTATTTTTTAATACTTTTTTAAAATGATTGAAACTGGATTTCCACTTTCCTTACTGATTCGCAATTCGAGCCAAGTATTCTCATTTTATAGGCGCAAACTAGCCTGTCTTCTCACTGCCAGATTAGAATTAATTTCTCTAGGCTTAATTTTTGTACGTAACAGATTTCGTATCTCAAAATATGTCATCAGATGAAAGTGATGTATGTTTCGTGGTTACTTTATCGTTTGCGTAATTTTAGTGCCCTCTTTGCTTAGAGCCAATGGATTCGGATGATGCCTCTTTCTACCCCTGTCCTTGCCTTTACCAAGTACCTTGTTTTCTTCACTCATTACTTTAAGGTGTGTCGATTTTGTTGGGCAAAGATAATAAACGAGGAGAACGGGCTGTGTCCGGCGTGTAGACAAGTAATTGTGCGCTCTATATAATTCGGATTTAGCCCTATAACCCTGACGCACCTGTTGTTCGCGCTCCACAGACCTCCTCTGTGTAAGTAGTTTGCATTACATTTATTTTGTAGTGAAAGTAAGCGAAAGCCAACTAAACGGAAAAAGGAGGTGGCTAACAAACCACAAATTCCCAAAGAAACATTTAAACTTTTGCCTGAGCTCAGGTAAGTAATCATTTCATTCGAAACCTAAGCACTTTAGGGTCATTCAAACTAATCTCGTTTTTGTGGTTGGCCTGCCTCAATGGATATCAAAGGACAAGGAAATTTTAAAGGGACCTCAGTATTTTGGACAGTTTGGGAAGGTGTTTAAGGTTGAGGTTAACGCTAACCAAACTTTTACGGGTCCACAGGTATGCCGCAAATTCGTGTTCCTGGTTTCAGATGTTTGTAATAAGTTTACAAACCTAAAGTTAAAATTGTGCCTCACGTGAATATATTAGTCCTGCTCTATTAGCACATCATTTGATCTGGTTATGTGCCTTTATTGTTCGGATTGACTGGACTCCCGTTTCAACCTGACTTTGGTGTGTTCTTACAGGGTCAACCGAGTATAAGCGCTTACATCACGTATTGCCGACCGGAGGATGCCATGCGTGCCGTTCTTACTCTGGACCAGTCTATGATGCATGGGCGGCAGTTGCGGGTATCTTTGGGGACCACAAAGTACTGCAGTCAGTTCCTTCGAGGGCATAAGTGCAATAAACATGTGAGTTATTTGAGTCTAATTGACATGCAGTGCTGTATCTTGGTCACGTTTTGGCTTATTATGCACTAAAATACTCAGTAGCTTTCATTAAACACCCATTAAATCAAGGCTCAAGTTCCTTTCTAGAGAAGCAACTTGAGGAATATTTGTAATCCGTACTTCCGTATTACGCGAACAGATTTCTACGGAATTTTATAGCGTCTTTCTCAAAATGTCCAATATGATTTTGCTCAAACCTAAATAACTCTAGATTCAATCACATGTTTGTTTAAAGTTTTCAGCATCTCTGCGATGGTAACATTTCCTCACAGTTGTGGTACTGTTTAGCTCTTACCTCTACTAAATGTTCAAATAAAGATCAAATGTCTAAATATGTCGTGTTGTTCATGTTGTTATAAGCCTTCGCCTTATGCGTTTATATTGTGAACACAGCATTCTTTTTATAATACGTAATGCTTCATATCGGTCCCACTTAATCGACTTCCTACCTAATGTATCCTCTGAAGCATTAAGATCGTTTTACGTCAAAATCAGAAAATCTAAGTCGGAAACTCGTCAGTTTTTTGGGTGATTATGCTTTTCTTTATAATCGTGTCTTATCGCATTACTCCAAGCACAAAGTGAGAAATTTGAGGTAAAAAGGTGTGAGCTTTTGTGTTGGTTTGGCTCTTCAATCACTTTCTCACCTTTCCTGATAGCGACCGCAGTCATGCCACATAGACCTTTAAATGCTCTAATCAGCGCTATAATTTTGACGTAGTTTCAACTAGTAACTTGTGATGTTGACCTTTTCTTATCTGTTTCAATTAAATTTGTGAGCTAGCCACATTGTAAGTGAAGTTATTCTACGAAAGTACTTCCACGACCAGGCAGAAATCGTAGTAGGTCGCGTTTATTTTAACGGCTTAATATTCATAAGATGTTAACACCGGTAACGGCCAAATGGAGGTTCTATAAAGCAGTGTCCAACATTCCTTTTTGTAGGTTTCACCAGCGTCAGTATTCCATATCCCTATTTTTGGTTCTCTTCAGCAATGAAGAAACGAATTTGGCGCAATGAGGCTAAACATGAAATCCAACCTATTCGCTTCTTTTTCTTCAAAGTCAATAGTCACTCATCTCGTACCCCAGATGTTGCTTATTGCACATAATGAAGGCCATTATATATGTAATTGGCATGTAATTAACACCCAGTTATTTCAAGGTAGATTTTTAAATCGTTACGGTCCTGTAGGTTAAATTTGACCGTTTGTGTCTTAAATCCTATACGCGACCGTGGAGTATTTGTTGGTGGTCAGAACTACAGATTTTTAAACCCGTAAATTTAGTGTAGCCCACCTTGTACCAAGCTGACTCGTGAGTTCACACATTATCTGCGGCATGGAATAAACATGTTCTAACTGAACGTTTGGGGTGAATTATTTGAACATTGCTGATTTGACGCAATAACATTGGTGGAACTCGTCACTGAAGGACAACTTTCCGGAAGCAAAGCTTTCACTTAGCTATAATTATTAACAGGTTTACAGTCGTTTATTTGTATTCTTACAGGAATGTATGTATCTCCATGACCTGGGTGACCCAAAAGCCAGTTTTACCAAAGAGCAAATGCATGCTGGAAAGCATACCGAATACATGAAAACACTTTTAGATGACTTCATAGCCAACCAACATCCAACCGTGGACACCAGAAGTAGAGGAAGTCCTGCCGCCGCCGTCGGCAGTGGTGGCAGTAGTAGTCAGGAGGAGTTAACCACGTCAGCTTCCAAGTCCAGCGTTGCCGCCGACGCTTTCCGACACTCCAAAGACGGTTCAACTCCTGATACTGGGGAGGAGGCTTCCGCACCTTCAAGTGGAGGCGTCTTCACGGCATCGTCTTATTCTTCCTCCCAATTATCCTCTGAACGTGCAAAGCCTCTATTTCAATCCCAGTCCCGTGCAGACATGAACTCGTTGGGTCCTAGCAGCAGTAGTAGTGGCAACAGTGCTGGCATTCTCAACTCCCCCGATATCGATTTCGATCCGATCCGCGAGTCCCAGGCCGGGCTAGCGGAGCTCCTGGCCTCCGAGCACCCGCCTCCACCCCAGGTTTCCTTAGCCACTCAGACTCACTTTGCTCCCTTGCCACCAATGTTCGCGCCGCCTCCTGGCTTCGAGAATTTCCCTGCTGCCTCGCCAGAAGATTTTGCTTCCTTAATTACAGCCACTCCAACTCCCCAGAGCCTTTTGGACACTGCTTACGAGCAGTTCGCGCAGCTCGCAGCGTTAGCCTATCAGGCCCAACAGCAACAGCAGCATCATCACTGGGGTACCGTTGGCGGCATGGAGCAGAATATGGAGTTTCTGACGCATTTGTTGAGACAGGCGATGCACTTGGACGGCAAGGAGTCATCCCAAGCCTCGCAGCCCTCCTCGTCCATTGGCAACGCCAGCGGCGCCGCGGGGGAATTCAAATGCTATGCCACCTCCGCATCAGCCACCACTGCAGCTTTGGATGTAAGTCGTGGTTCGCGTATTTGGGTGGCCTTTGCCGAACACTTTATCGGTGCCCTTTAAAGTAAACATCGCAATTTATCCATGTTTGCCGTTTGTAATTTGTCCTGATTTACACCACGTCGAAAGTGCATGCTCATCCAAGTATTTCGCCGGAACACTCCACATTGGAAATTCCCGGGGCGATTTCATCTGTGCGTGTGCGTAGCTAGTAGATTTCGCGTGTAGTTTTATTTTTTTTTATCGTTTTGCGAAAACAGGTTCTCGTCCTTTTAATGAATAAATTTAGACCTTTTTGTCGGTATCGTGATTGCTGTTTGGTACGCTTACCTCTACAGACTTCCTCCAAGGAGAGGCTCTTTGTTTGAACCATGTGTTGAATATGAATAAAATATTGAGCTTTGCTATCCGCGAAGTAGAAAACGAATCTTATCCGGCAAAGCTACTGTAGCAACATTAGTAGGTACTCTATCTCACCTTTTTTAGGTTGACTGTTTCAATCCAACCTAACCGCAATATTTATGCATTTTCTGTTTCTAAAAATATTGGTCACTTTTCTGTGCTTCTTAAACACCAGTGCTTTCCCAACAGATTAGACGAATAGCATCCTTGTATCGTCGCTGTAGCATTTAATAAGGCTCTGGCTTTAGGAATCTGTTTCTCGAAAGTTAGATTTTCGCAAAACAAAACGTGTATCACACCGGCAGTCAATTACACTCTTCCAAAAAGCTTGTGGTGAATTGCGCCAAGTCTCGCCCAGCGCCCTAGTTTATCGATTGCCATGTGCCCTCGACCGTCCCACTCGCAACCTCGTGATTAATTGACTGCAGATCTCATGCCCTGTCACCCGACCTCTATTGACTTAAATCACCAACGGACGTTTGCAATTTTTGAACCGACTCAAACTTCTCCACATGGCAGGCAATGCGCCCTTGTGGCCTTGATCGATGGAACTCGGGTGACAGGAAAAGATATGCCCCCTGGGGTCGATTAATGACGCAGTGGTGGGTGGTAGAGTGATCACAGAGTGATCAACTCGCCCAGACCTGCACTGCCGGTGGGGCTAGACGTGAAATAGCAAAGCTCACTGCAAGTTTGACTGCAGGCCTTCAAAAGCAGAAACCCCATTTACTTGGTTTATGACTTTGTCACTAATGTTCGGTGGCTATACACACTGTGCCTTTGTTACCCAGCGCCTCAAGGTCACATGGATTGCGTGTCAATCATACCTCATCGTGTAAGCTGTCAACACGACGCCCAGATTCTGCTTTCACTAACAGCCTCTAGACCTAGTGTGTGCTCAACTTGTTGCTTACGTATGAGATTCCCGTTTGTTCGCCTCTCTAGTAGGGTCCACGGTGTGACTAGTCATTTCGTTGTGCCTCTTAACTTTCTCTCACACTAAGCGCGGTGTCTATAAAAATGGGTCACGTAGTAAAATTGTACTCTAGATTTATAGAAATCGGCGACTTTACCTAGGCCCATGAGATGCATTCAGTCCTCCAAAGTGCTTAAACGTTGAAGTGAGTTTGAAATAATAAGCACAGGCCGTTATCATTTTCATCCCCCGACTGAATTAGTAATACACTCCCATGTCTACTTGTTGCCAGACTTATTCTCGCTTGTCTGAAATTAATGTCAACAACACCTGTCACTTGATTGCCACAACCTTAATTCTAACCGATACTGCACACTGTTCCATTTTAATTCCTCCTATGACCACTATCCCCTCTGCATTAAAGCCCCTTTTACCCAGTCATCGTCATCGATTGTCGCTTGCTTTTGGTTAGGTCGCTGACCTTCACCGTCGACCAATTGGCAGGGAGTAGTCTAGGACGAACGCGCCCAGTTACGCACGCGGATTTGTTGTTTTTCCGTCTTCGGCTTTGCGTGCCTGCATGATTTAGATGCAGCTGGGAACTGCAAATTGTCTACCCAGAGAACCGGGTAACAATTTGTCTCCAGACAAGAAATTGAATATTCTGTAAATTGGGCCATGTGAGGTGTTTATACGAAAACAACCAAAGAATCGATGAAAACTTCAATTAAGTTCAACTTATTCCCAGAGGCTATTGTAAACACAAGGCCCAAAAAGGTGTGCGCAAATGCGTGTATAATACGCATCTTGCCTTTGAAAAGACTAAATCAGACTAGATAGTGTTTTTAGGCAGTTTGCAGAATGCTATTTACATGAATCTGTTGATAAAACTATATTTTTGAATCTAATGCCTTTTTGTGCCCGAGTCTCATCTTGCGAAACCCAGAGGGAACTAAACGCTAGTCTAACTGCCCGCGTAATACGAGTAAAAATACAATAGCTCAATCTCTATTTGCCGGTACGTGTTTGATCATGCTACCAAACTCTCCTTTGTTCCAAATGCCTAATCTCCGCCTGGCAATTTGGCATGCTAGAGAATTATCTACTTTCCTTTATTCTCAGTCAGCATTGGCCTCTTCTTTGCGTTCCACTTTTCAAAGGATCTGTTTTGACTAATCGAACGAACCATTGGCCTTGTCCATGTTTTCAGGCCTATATTCTCATCACAAATTACTAAATTTTGTGAAAAAATTGTCTCCGTGCACCAACTAAATTGTATAAAATAAAGTTGTCATATTTTTCGTTCATTTTTTAACTTCTACTAGCATGCGCATGTAGTCCCGTTCCGGTTTATTTTTAAAGACAGCCTTTTGCCAAAATACACGGCTTTTCAGCAAGGAGACGGAGGACTCCGTAGACACCACGCCTTCTTGTAGCTCAAACTAATGCTGCCTTTTGTTTGTTAGAACCGTGATGGTTGCCAAAACTGAGTTGGCTGCCCCAGCTCTGCGTCGTTGAACAGCAAAGCAGCGCACCTTCGACAGTTCGCCTCCCACTTCTCGTCAACCAGTGAGACCGCTTCCACCGAAGCCCGCGTTGCTCCGCCTCCACCAGACCCTCTTCTGAATTTCTGCCCCGTGTCAGATTTAGCCATCGGCTTTCCGCAATATACACATGTCCACACTTTAGACCATGAACAGTTGTTCTTCTTACTTCTCCTCTATGGTTTGAGCTGCTTTAGAGGTTGTTCACAACCTGGCGACAGAATTTAAGCTCCTCGCTCCAAACGAATTGTGTCCACTACTTCAACCTACCACTAGGGCCCTTTCGTTGCGTTTTCATTGTAGGAATAGTCTTGCCTACTAGCACTACACTCATTCTTGTACGTTCTCCCCGTACTGCGGTTTGATCAATCCTCCCGCAGCTTGTGGGACGTAGTCTCAATGGATCACATTAGTTAGAGCTCTGATTCCATGTGTCCTGTTGCAGTGCGTTTGAAGACGAGTACCTGGGTGGTTTTATCAACGAAAACAATCTAATCTCAAAAACTTAGGGTTAATGAATTTTAGCTTTAAATGGCAAACTAATCATTCTCTCAATTGTCTGCTGAGGTCGTTAAATCCGACCTTGAACTACTTTGCAGACTTGGGTGGAGCCGTGCCCCTGGCACTTGCAAGTTTGCGGCTGTCCTCACGTGGTGCATAAATTTCAGTTTACACGTTTTAATTGATGCATGAAAGTGTTATAATTAAATACAGACTCTTGAGTGCCATTGCCTGTTAGTTGCCGATTGGCCACTTGTTTTGTAATGTCTCTCACCACCCAGTCAAAGCGAAAATCGTACGCCACAGTTAATAGTCACCTAAGCTGCTTGACTCCCTCCTGTCTCTACTTCGTGCCGTATCGCGCCTCAACACCTACATGTGCTTACTAGGTTCGTGACAGCCTTTGGTTATCTTTGTTAAAAAAATAGCTTGGGGAACTAGATACTACTCGTGCTGTGCTTCCCGTATTTTAAGCGCCTGTCACGCGTGTGTTTTGGGACGCCCTGTAGCTGTTATTCTGCGTCAATAGAACGTCATCAACAATGAGTCAATCAGCTTGAAATGTTTTTACAATCGGCATACTCAGGAGACAGTGTGTTGGGCCATCCAGTCAGCCTGTGTGGTAAACTGCGTCAGTCTGCTGGGGCGCGTGAGAGCCCGCGAAGCCCTGAATGCAGTGACAAGGGGGAGGGGTGGGTAGAAGATGGAAATGCCACGTGACGGTGTTTTCGTGTTAGCGGACGAAGCCAGTCTACTCGGACCAGACACGCAGGCAAATGGATACAGGCTTGTGGCGGAGGGAGATGTTAAAAATACTCGCGTAAGCCGACAAATGCAGCCGTCTAACGCATCGATCGATAAAGCACGGTAGGTAATTTCACTCCAGTTGGTGCCCTCGTCGTCGTCGTTACTAACGCCTTGTTGGTTCTTTTTCTATTGGCGTAGTGTAAACCGGTGAGTTTATACGAAAGGACGACGTAGCGATGTGTCTTAATAGGAGTCTAAGCAGTCATCGTAAATAAAATCACCAGGCAGCAAATCATCAGAACAATTAATCTTAAATCACTTCCGGACTGCAAATCGTAATCGCTTTGCTGGATAACACCTTAAAATCTCTAAACGCATTGGATTTCATTTCTAACTTTAGAAGCCCCCAACATTCGAATGATTTGCATGGTTGTATAGATCAGACTTAATAAATTGACTTGTAGGTGCTAAATTAAACGGCCAAATTGAGACTGTGAAAAAGTTGAAAATCCACCTTAGATGTTGACAAATGTACGAAACATATTTGTCAATCCAACATGCGCTTTCGCTCGAACATTGGGCAGAACTCGTGCATTAGTAACTTTGCAGCTTCCTCCGATAAAGCAACATCTAGCCTGCATACTTGGTTCTGTTACCCCTGCACAAAAGGTACCACAAATTGGTAAGTTGATTGCAAATTTGTGAAACTAGGAATTGCTCCCAGTCCTGAAGTGGGTTCGAGGCGAGGCACTGTCGCCCGACCATTGGGCAGAACTTTTCCGCCTCATCGACCTGCCGTGTGGAACCCGTTTGGACGACCTGACCTTCGGCAGTATCCTCACCGCTGCCCCGCAAATCCTGGCTCAGGCCGACGCTCTCAAGCACCTGACCCTGCGCGCGCAGGGCGAAGTTGTCGTCCGAGAGGCTCTGCAAGAGCTCGACGTTTGGGGAGCTGGAGCCACCTTCTCGCTCACCCCCTACACCGACTCCAAGGGGCGATGCATAAGACTCGTTAAAGACTGGACGGATATTGTTACCCAGGTATGCTCACGTCCTTGTCGTTTTCACTCGTCTTTGCTCACTCCTGGATTTGGGGGAGTCTGAACTTCTGCGTCAATTTAGGAGACACGTGATTGGATGTTTGTTATGCTGTGGCAGAATGTGCAAAGTTAATCAATGAGCTACATTTAAAAGGATGTCTAAAGGACAAGAAGCCTTACCTATGCTCAAACTTTTTCTGAGTCGAATTAGTAACCTCCACACATAAGTTCCAATTTGGCTATCCAGAGCTCAAGCAAGCTTCAATTTACCACAAATGGGGTCCATGTAAACTAACCGGTTGCGTGATGTTAGTATTAAGTCAATGCCCTTACTGGCAATGCCTCGCCGTGTTTGTGTTGAAATTTTCACATCACATTGGATTGACGAGTGTTGCAACACCAACCGTCATTCAGACGCACATATGATTGCAAATTTATATGCGGGCACTCACTCATCAAGAGAGAATGGTTGTTTATATCCACGGGACCATGGCATGATTTAATTTCTCTAGATTATTACAGTCGTGCCATAGTGTAATGGGGAATTTAACTAAAAGCGCCTTCACAACAATTCGTAATTTGTTGCAAGCCCTGGATTTAGCTGTTTAAGAATTCAGGCATTCTACTTTTAAACATTTGTGACATTAAAACTTACTGAAATGCCCAGCAACATGAAAACGCTGTAAGTAGGAACGCAAGTGTACTTTTAAAAGTTCTTTAACACACTGCCATCTATGTGAATGCAAAGCTTTTGCACTTAATAACCGTTCGTGACCTCATACGGCATTAGAATGTGCAATCGACAAACCATTCATTAGTTTATACATTCGCTTAACCATCTGTCCTTATAATTACTAGTTAATTTGCTATTTTAAGATCAGCTCACTCGCTGTCAGGGCACATTGAATGAGGGAGACAATTTCTTTCTCAGCAAAGTTTGAAAAATCAAGTGATGCTAGAAAGCTCTCACATCTTCATCGGGAATTGCAGGCAAGTTCCCTTCAAATTTATGCCTTTAAAAGTTTGCACACACCACATTGACAAGGAAACGGTTGAATTCATGACCAGAACGTTGTCATGGGTTGGTTAAATAGGTCTCTTTTTTTACAGCACTGGTTATCAAAGGAATTTCCTCCATTGCCAAAGGGCCACTGATAAAGTAGCTAATTTGGGGAGTGCACCGAAACAATTGCTAGGGGCCGTCGAAATTCCTAATTATGACATCTATTACCTTCGCGATTCGATTAGGGATGAGAGAAAGAGAGAGAGCAGGCGTTGTTGATGTAAAAGAACACGCCAAATCAACGACTTAGTTGCCTCGCCACGTCGATTCGACTTAGCACAAGGCATTACGCTGCTCTTGCCCTGTCTTGTATGCTCCCCACCATTGGAGCCCGCCCTCTTATCATCTGACTTCTCCGTCTGCCTTTGAGTTTGAGCTAACTAACAGCAGCCCCGTGTTTGAAGGTGCTTGACCCAGAAGGCGCGGCAGTTGGGTCAGTAAAGACGGTCAGCGTGACACAAATATGTATTCATACTGGAACAAGGAGAAGTCGAGGTTCGCTTATGTTGTGCCTAGTCAAAGGCGAGAAGATAACCGACATCCGTGCTCGTGTAAACTGTTTACTAGCCGTCTTGCGGCCACGCGTTAACACACTACCCCCGCCAATCGCACACCACATGTCCCGATCAGGCCGTTGCATCCGGGTTCCCAATTGACGTGAGGTCGTGCACGTTCTGACATGTGTGGACTGGATGAAACCAATCCAACTTAGTGAATTCATGCATTAGGGCTGCATGTGCACTTGCCTACAGAGTGAGTTGTGAAGCCGTCCTATGGGTCACCTAATGAAATCTGGATTTAACAATGCACGTAACGGTGATAAGGCCATTTCATATGCTCCTCTTGAATAGTATTGTCATTAAAAAAACATGAGGTAGTGTGCATAGGAATGCGGTTAGAACCACTAATTAGTAATCCAGCAGTTTGAGTAAATTCACATTTCGATCACTCTTCCCTACTCTTGGAGTGAGTGGACGCCGACATTATTCAGCATTTCAGTTTCGTAGGGGTCTGGAAATAGCAAATAATGCAAATGGAGGTCCGAAGAAATGGCCACGCCAATCGGTCTCCCGTAAGTTGAAAACTGAAAATTTGTGGCACGGAAAACCGGACTAGCATACATATTTGTTAGGATTTTGCGTTGCTTTGCACAGGGAGACTAAGACTACTCACGCGTCAAGACCTCGTAGCGTGGTTGCCGGCAGTGTGTCCACTAACTACTGCTATTAACACAACAGGAAACCACTATGAAGGCAGATTAATGTGACCAAACAATGGGACTGACAAACTGTCCACATCGTAGGCGGTTTTTTTGTAAAGCCGTGTAAAACCTTTGAATTGAACACCAGAATGAGGTCTCTGAGTGCAAAAGCCACTGTGGACTTGTCAGTAGTACCAGAACTGCGTCAGGCGCTCAACTGTGGATTCAGTTTGCCGCTTGTCTCACAATGAGCAAATCCACCTCATCTGACTGTGTGCGCGTGATCAGCGCTGAACCGCCACCTTCGATATGCGGTTGTGTTTGCGATCCACAATCACCTTATCGACTCACCTGTTTTTTGCACCTCTCACGTGTGGGGTCTCTGACTATCTCCCTCCCACGCCTCTTGTCAACAGGCAAGCCTCAACGCCTACACAAAATTCAGGTTTAGACGTCACATGACTCGGCACCATGGCAACTAAAAAAATAAGTTCAGCAAAAAACCGTAGCAATGCGAATAGGGGTTGCCCATTACACGCCAGTGCAAGCAGAACACGCATGGTAGTAACGTCAGAGCACGTTTATTGGCCTATTCCGGCGCAAATCACAGCTCACGAGACGCCTGCATCAAACAGTGGCTGAGGCTACCTGAGCAGCCGCATTGCTCGCACTTAACACTTGAGGACCGGTAGCTTTACCTGTCAGCAGGCAGATTTAACATTTGACGAGATCAGCTATTTCTCTAATCACAAAAGCTGACAGCGCTAACGTCAGTTCACAATTCCCCTAGTGACTTTGACGAATTAAGCAACCAACTCATGTTCTAATTAAATTTCCGCGTTTGTTTGCCTCGTATTGCATTAAAGGGAGCGTGAAGTGGAATGCAGCACCCTCAAGGCTGTCGTGGGACGAAAAGCACACCACTGGGACGCCGAGCTGCGTGGTTTCGTGTGTGCCGACTCGAAACACTCAGCCTCACCTAGGCAGGCAGATTTGCACACACGCTAGGCGCTTCAGCTGTGGCTCACGCCCAGCATAGCCAACTCTGCACGAAACGCAGGAATTGGTCACCTGTGCGTCACCAACCTCGTGCACTTAAGGTTGTTTTGCATGCTCATGCGTAAACATCATCCTGTTTTTTATCCCTCCTGCTTTACGCTGTAATTAACGCCAGTACAGACTCCAAAATGGTCACAAATTCGTTATCACGGTAAGTTGTCGGGTTTACATAAGGCCTTTGAAGCTCCCGACGTTGTCACATGGCATGCTCTGACAAATGCCCTTGAAGTCAAAACACGCTAATCAAATTTGGTGTTTATTTACTCCTGTTCAAAATGTCCTACGTCCATCGACACGATAGCAAACAATGTAGTTTTCCTTGAAATGGCGATTGTTTAGGCAAATGTTAACTCAACGATAGGTCGTGAAATGTTGACTTAAACATTGTCAGGTAGCTGAAGAGAAATTTAACTTCTCCCTCTTTAATAACAAATACCTGCTTTGGGTCTGATGTTAAACAAGGTATAACCTTCAGTGATGTGGCAAAGGAAAGGTGTAACAAAGTTGTTTTTAAATTAAGCGCTAATTCATTATGCCGGTCGCATGGTCCTCGTCATTTATCAAAGATTCCACAATTTCTAGTGAACCTAGACTATTTCTTCCCAGACGTCTAGACACGATGGCGTGTGCAGCCACAAAATTCATTAACTTTCGACGCAATACAGTGCATTCATTCAAACCTGTGTTTCCCCTACCACAGTTATTGTGCTCCTTTGGTTTGGTCTATTCGGGTCAAGCTTTTGCTAGAATGTGAGGACGTTTACTTTTATTATTTCCCCTTAACCGTGACTCTCTCATTTTATTAAAAGCATCCAAATCCAAGACAAGTCAGACTGACCTGAGTTCATGGTTTCTCTGTTCCGCCAACTACTTCTGGGAATGGGATGACCAAATCTGGGAGGGATCTGGAAAATTTAGCCTCCGGCGGTAACGAGGCGCTGTTAAAGCAGCCTGAAAGTGGATATTTCACATGTCAAACATGGAAGTAGCTTCCTCGATTCCAGCATTTCTCGTCTGCTTAATCTATAGACATTGTAATTTCTGTAATTTTGCACTACGCTGAATTTCAGGCAATCGATTTCTAATTTACATCAATCGAAAAAACCAAAACGGGATAATCAGCGTGTCTCATAACTGTTTTTCACAAACCGGCTTCATGTTTCTTTTTAAATACACAAGCATTGTATTTGAGACAACTGGTGCATTGAGCTTGATTGCAAATACTTCGACTGAATGAACAAGATTAATATCTGAGTGAATCAGTGCATTGATCATGCTAGCATTTCATATTGGGTCTGATGTATCCATTGTCCCAGGATCATACGCCTTGTGGACTGCTGACATTCGCTCAATGGTGGGATCACTGATACGACACACCACCGACATGCGAAGTGGACAGGAGTTGCGAGATGAGGTTACGGTAGACCAGCCCAGTCGAAGAGATCTCGGTGGATGACAATTGAGGCAGGTGGATAATCCATACACGCGCTGACATCAATTAAATGATCTGTAAATATTCCCTAAAGATACAGTGCTTCAGAATGTTCAGACGTGGAATGTGCTTCGTCATCTAGCACTCCGGACTTGGAATGTCTTATGAGATGCTTCATATCGCTTGAGACTGGATCCTCTTGGTTTGCTAATTTTGCCTCAATATATGAAGGAATATTTCGAGCCTAGGTACTGCTGTGTATTGCAGCTTCAGCCACATAAGAGCGAGGGTTCAAAGTTCCATTTACCGTGTTAGTCCTTTCTGCCTTGATGTTTTAGTCTTCCGATTTTTTCTTAGCATCACATCGAACTTGTTTACTCAGGGGCCACCAACTTGGTATGCAACGTTTCGGAGATGGTCTTGTGTTGCATTTGTAGAGTAAACAATTATCATCTATAAAACATTGGCACAGTGAACAAAACCATGATGGAGTCTCAACGAGAACCAGAACAAGTGGGTTAATAGAGATGCCAACGTAAATATTACACCTAGAGTTATTTGATGCTTTAGGATAACACGTACACACATCCATACTATAATGCTACAGGGCGCGTAATGGGAAGCATTTGTTTTTTTCAGCGGAATCGATTTCTGTGCGTATCACCGTGCAAAGGAAGCAATGATTTCATCACAATCTGTCGAATATTCTCTGCAGCACAATAGGCGTCGGAGTACTGCTTCAGTTCTGCTGCAAATATCTCATCCAGGAAGTCGCTGTCCTTCGAACTCATCGTCTGCCTGCATATTCGAAAAAGGACAACTTAAGCCCTGATTTGTTTGGCATCAGACCAATTGCAAAAAACACAGTTCATCAACCTGGTGACAAAACAACTTTATTTCTGTAATATCTACCCAATCGTAATATCACGTAGAATGAACGCATCATTTCTTATACAAGACGGACATTGACGATACCAATCGCACCATTGCAAAAGGCCTACACAAAGACTTCGCCAGGAACCTACAAACTTTAGTGGGTGGAAGAGTAATCATACTCCCGAATTGACACGTCTGAGGTACACTCGCAACGTGCAGGCAAAGCTGTAACGGTGCTCTATGCATAAGGATTATCGGCTATCATCAATGCCCTAGGTGTTTGAGTTGCAGGGTGCCAATCCACCGATAACGACATGGGCTTCTAGTGAAGTGCGAGGTAATACCGCTCTCCCATCTGTAAATCCACCTTGGTCCCAGTTCAAACAAACTCCTGTAACGTGTCCATAAGTATCTTAGCCACGTCGATCAACTGCAACCCACAGCCAAGTTTAGGTATATACTTGCGATCCTGGTGCACTAGACAAGAAGTCGAATGTTCAACCTTCTAGTCTTGAATAAGGGTGGATGTGGAAACCAGAATTTATAAACACATATCGTATGATTATGACTCCGATGATTTTGGTAGTCTGAGTGGAAACCTACACTGCGATGGGGATTGTTTCCCTAAGAAAAAATTAGTGAAACAGTCAGTAGGCAAGTAAAGGTCTTGGGATGATATATGTTATGCCGTGGTTGGTGAAAGGATTTCTTAATCGGAAATACGCCAATTTTAAGTGTCATTATCTGGAACCATGATAGGCGTTAAAATTCAGTAGGTTATGGTCTGCTGAGTTAGAGCCAAGGGAAGTGTGGATTCCTTGAAGAGATCTATTGGTGGTACCTGAAGTAAGAGGACTTTTCATTTGACATTTGCTTCTACTCAAAGCCATCAACCAGAATTATGGAAAGCGCTAAAACTCTCATCTTAAGCTCTCAAAATTTTCGAAGCAGATGTTCCAACACCTGTAGTATCGTGCAAATTGCCAGCAATGTTACATTTTATTACGCCTGGAACAAGGAATTGGACTGTAGCATAAGCAACTGATTACAATTGGGTCGTTCATGTCTTGCTGCATCCATGCCAGAATCTCGGTGGATTAGATCGTCAACAGAACCCCTCTCACACATCCGCTTCTTCATTTATTACCCACCGTGATTGCATGGGCAATTTCAACTCAGCTTTCACCTTGCCGCAGCAACCAAATGTTCGTGTCTAAACACGACCGAAGGCAAAATTGAAGTGTTTAACGCTTCGAGTGACCAAACTTCATTCTAAACAACATGTCAAACAATTCACCAGTTAAGCCTGATTACTGCACTAAATAAGAGTGACATCCAGGGCAGTCCCTCACGCCTAGCAGATGACCCGCTATGCCAACGAGTGCAGATCTCAAAAAGAATACTACCCGAAGTAAGATCAGAAAATTTCGACCTTGTTGAAAAATGAATGTCACAACGAGCCGAAGTGTTTTATCGACTGAATCCACCGGATGCTACTCGAGATCCAGCGGTACTTAACATGTCACAAGACCAACAGGCAAGTATCGCGGCCTCTGCATATAACCGTTGGTAACCAGTGTAACCTGCGTGGCCAACTCATCCAATGATAACTGGAACCCTTGCAGGGTCGTCTATGTAATTTGGAACACAACGAACGTACGACACATGAGTCTCCAGCTAAACGTGAACATATGCGCAAGAAGGCAGCTCGCTAGTACGCCTTCGATGAAAGCTACTCAAAAGAGGTCAAGTAATTCAAAAACTCGTTTATTTAAAAAAACGTGATAGTGGTTAAACAAACGCTCGAAGAACAATGAGTGCTAAAGATTAGGTGACTGCAATCGCGGCAACTGATGACTTGACCATGTTGGGTTCGGGCTGGCAGTTAAAAGGGAGTCTTCGGACCCGAACCCACCGAAATAGGGAAGATATAAAGGTTAAGATAACAACACGAATAACGATATTAATGACAACACCAATGAGTGAGGCCGTGCGACACTACGCGTTTATTTCTTCTTGAAAAACTCTTGAAGACCAGCAGTACTCATCGACTTGGGGCGCTCGATTGGCAGGCCCAAAGCACGATCCCAAACTAGGGAGGAGCACACGCCGAGAGCTCGCGAGACTCCGAAGAGGACCGTGTAGAAGCTCATTTCTTTCATTCCAAAGTGCTTTTAAAACAAGGAAAAATCAGAAACTAGTGGGAGGGCTAATACAACAACAGTCAGCAAAACATGGAAGACATCACTTTAGCGAGCGACCCATTTCATTAGGCCCACCACATGAGGTATCAAGGCACTCGATTAATTCAACCAGGGCCAAATATAACGACATTGACTTGTTTAACAACAATAATAAAGCTCCAAATAGGGCTACATACCTGAAGCAGAACACCCGAGTGGGCATCAACGTTGGGCCATGGGTTCTTAACTTTACCCAGACTTTCAAGGTACGGGGGGATAAGTTTAAAGCACTGCGCGACGATTTTGACGAGGGGATCATCAGGCATGTGGTTCAGAGCAAACTCCCGTTGGCACATATAACGAGGATCTGTCTTTCGAAGCACCGCATGCCCGAAACCAGGAACAACCTGTTGGAAAAATCAAGATGGTGAGGAGCATAAGAAAAACTATCAAGGTCCCTTTCTAGAAAAACTAGTGGGCTAATGCTCAAAAGACAATGCCAGCATTTAGAGTCTGGATTACGAAAGGAACGTAATATGCGCATACCCTCCCACTGGCCAAAGTTTCCTTCACAAACGCCAGAACTTGGTCATCAGAAGGCGATTTGCCCTTTGCCTTGACTAGATCCATGATCCAAGTGAGGACCTCCTGATTTGCAAGTCCATGGAGCGGGCCAGCTAAACCGCACATTGCAGCAGAAAAACTAAGGTAGGGGTCCGAAAGAGCACTCCCGACGAGGTGACAAGTATGTGCACTGACATTCCCTCCCTATGAAATTAAGAAATAAACACTGAATAAAGCAACCAAAAGGTTAGTTGTCACAAAAAGAACTGCCTTTTTACTTCATGGTCGGAGTGGATTGACAAATACAGACGCATAAGTTCCACGAAGAGTGGATCCTCAAATCCCATCATGTGTGCAAAGTTCTTCGACCAGTCCGCATCAGGATCAATATTTCCTATGCTCTTCCCACCACGGAAAGCGTTGTTGTGGATGGTCGCTGCCACAATTGGGAGCTTAGCGATGAGGTCCATGGAATCCTCATAGACATACTACAAAGTAAGCACGAAAATAATAAGAATCCCCAGACATGGTGAATTCCTCTATAAAGAATATAAGTTAAAAACAGTGCAACACCATATAGCTGTAGAGATTACCTCCCAATAAACGTCTTTACTGACACCCTTGTTGTAAGCAGCTACGAACTTAGATTCAGCATTGAGCGCAGCAGTAGCAGCAGCCAACTGGCTCATTGGGTGGAGCGTAGCAGGAAAGTTTTTCAGCATTGTTACGACGTGGTTCGGTAGGGAGGCTCTCGCTACCAAATCCTTGGAAATCGCCTTAACCTGCTCGACCGACGGAACTTGACCAGTAAGGAGAAGAAATAACACGCCCTCGGGAAGTGGCTCTTCACCTTTTGGAGCCTTCGGAAGTAGTTTTTGACAGTCCTTAATCGTGTATCCGCGAAACCGTATGCCTTCCTCAGGGTCAAGTACCGAAGTTTCCGTCACAAGACCTTTGATGCCACGCATGCCACCATACATCTAAGTACATTTATTATTTTAAGGGAACCAAAATGTACCATATCTACGGTGACCTCGCCAACTTTCTGACTGCCATACTCTTTACGAAAAGCAGTCACCAAAACACGGTGTTCAGAGATCGCTTCTTCAAGAACGCTTTTCATAGACTAGAAAGTCAACGACACAAAAGTTCTGCTTACGCGAGAGCTCTGTGATGCAGTAGATGTCGCATATAAGCAAGTGCTGCATTTCCATAGCAAATGCCCGTTCCTTGAAAGCGCAAAAGAACGCGATAGCATGACGCTAATTAAGGCAAGAACAAAAGCAACCAAATGCAGTTAAGACGCACTGACGAGAAAAATGAACTCCAAGGCCGGGAATTTTGATGTATTTAAAAAAGGTGTTTATTTAGCATTTTATATCCCAACTATTTAAATAGTTATTTCCTAAATTTGAATGCAAATTGTTGACTAAAATTTTTATAAATTAGCTAGAGTTCATAATACATGATTTTCAAAATTCAAAAAAGTTTTAAATTTTGGAAGATTTTTGAACATCTCAACCTCAAAATGGTATTCAAAACTTATAAGAAGAAGTGATTAGACATTTTACAGTAAATCACTGTCACAGGTTTCTATTAAAAAGACCTAAACTCCCTTAAATTTTTATGCAAGCATGAAATTTTTTGGCATATATCTGAAATAATAGTCTCGGTTGGGGCGATTATTCCTTTTTCTGAATTTGACAGTTACTTATTTCTCTTCAAAATGTCCCTTTTTTGCAACCGGAACAGATTATTTTGATAATTCATGATACGGATAAACTACTTCCTCTGTCACCCCAGCAGATAATCTTTTGTGCAAACTTAAATGTTTAGATAGAAATAATCTCACTAAATTGTATATAATCTTGACAAAGTAATTAGTAGTTGATTGAAGAAAAGTATATCATCCTTCACCTTTATTACAGGGACCAGCTCATATCATGAAACTAAACAAAATATGATCTTCATTAATGTCGATAGGATAGAATGTGATTGAGTTGATTGCTTAAAATATGAATGAAAATGTCTAAATTAAATACTAATTAGTTATGATGGTCTAATGCTATTCATTATGAGCTAAATAATTTCACCACTTTACTCCAGTCATAATCACATGTTTAACTATAAAACTGAACAAATTATGACACAATGCTTCCAGATTGTCAGTGATGAATTTCCCTGAATTATTTTGGTATCATCTCTCCACCAAGATCAAGAATTTACTTTTCATAGTTCAAATCCCATACGCCTCTTTCATTTTCAAGGTGGCTGGAAATTCCAGGACTCGGATATTCTACAGTACACAGTAAACACTTTCGAGATCAGTGACTACGAATATGGCGTTCTATGGGAATGGTCATAAAGTAAATAAAATCAGGGTGGAGTCTTAGTGTGAACCGGAACAGTAAAGCATAATAGTAGACAGAAATACCATCGTGAAAAAATAGCGCATAGATATATTCGATTTTAATTGATGATTTAGGATAATACATACGCACCCCTATGTTAACCTACTAAAGGACAAGTAAAGAGTGGCATTTCTTCTGCTCGGCGGAATCAATCACTTGGTGTGTGTCAAAGTGGAGTGGCAAAGTGTTGCCTGTGGTGGATACAATTAATTTGAAATGTTGGTACTTGGAAAACATTACCAGAGACTGGTACCACACCTCGATGAACAATCGAGGTGTGTTGAAGTGTTTTCGTGAACCCCTTGGTTCTGTGGACATAATCAATCATTACCTGTTTAAGGTTTAAATGTTACCACAATCCGACGAAAATTCTCTGCACATTGATCAAGCCTACCATGATTGCCAATTTCGAGATACCTATGGCGATCAAGTAGCATCCACTTTAAGCAGCCGTAGTCTATGGTCACAGACCTTAAAATTTGTCTAGATGTGGTCATTTTCCGTGTTTTTTAGTTCACCAGCTATCCCAGTCCATTCAGACTACAGTCAAATTAGCTACATTAATTTAGACCAGAGATGCATTTCAAATGGATTATAGTATCTGCACAGACTTGTATTTGCTGACCTAACTTGATCAAGGCTAGGATGTCATCAACCTCTATGGGGAACTATCTGTAAATTCGTCTGCAATATTTCCTTTGCAACTGCTGTCTGCATCCAGGATCGCGCAGTGTTCCATTGCATCCACAGTGGAATGGTCTATCGACAACAAACCCGTTTAACAGGACCCCACGCAGTCACCTGACGCTTACCTTATTTGGACCTAGAGCCAAGCAATACGAAGTCATCCCTGTTCTTTCCTAATCTAATTAAAAATTGGCCCGCTTTGTAGAAAAGGGGAGAGCAGACAGAGGAAAGACTGAAATCCCAAAGCATCAGACATCTGAATAATGCACATCACACTGCAGCTGAATACCTGACTTGTGGGGTCGCCCGTTCATGGTCCCTCAATACAACTATCGAATGGCGAAAATACCCGATACCTTCGAATTCATAACTCGATAGCTCAAGAAGGTGGACCCGTCATGAACGAAGCAGTGCTGCCCGTCAATTTCGCAAAAAAAATTCGTTGGGTACATGTAGAGAGACACTTCAACCGATTTATTCGGGATGATGTCGATTTACATTAAATTTCAGGGTTCCGGAAAAAATTTCACCCAGACACTAAGTCACCAGCGTGCTGCGTGGGTCAATAGTGCACCTGGCGTATGGAGTAAGACACAAACTGTGCCATCCTTAGCCTGTTGATGGGGCTCAAGGATTAAGGACCATCGATTAGAGCCAGCGCCAGGCCTCCTAAACGAACTAAGACAAACCCTTAACGCTTGTTCACGGTTTAAGCCATTAACATCACAGAATGTCCTTTTCAGTGGCATGGCAGCTTTGATGTAATTGCGAAATCTTTGTGTTGCCATTACCATGGAGGCCAACTCGTGCTCTACATGCGAAAAATTGTTTAGAGCCTACGACGAAAAATCAATAAGGTGTTGAAACTCAGGCGATTTACACAATGACAGCAACAATTATTGTTCAAAATGTACACATTGGAATATATTTGCTCAAAAGTCAAGACTGTCCATGGCTTTACTAACCATGCCTATTCGGAGGGCACTTATCAACTGTTTCGCCTTGCTTCGTATCAGCGCGAGATCTTCTTCAAACATGGGCTGCTTCACAAACATGTCGCAGGCACGCGAAAGTGGTCCGGGAGAGTCATTGAGCAAGTGAAGTAGACGCCTAGCCAAGTATGCGGGATGTTGCTTCCCGAATTCCTCCACGGAATTCGAAGAGTAGGAGGCAAGCACTTCTTCGGCCAAGCCTTTGTAAAAATAAAGTTCCGAACCAAGTTGGGCGCCGTACTGGAGACCACGAATCCAGGAGGAGCGAAGCTCAGAACTACGGTCGGGAAGTTCTGCAGCAGCAGCCGCATCATTTGAAGTCAATTGAAATCCCGCACAATAGGCGTCGGAGTACTGCTTCAGTTCTGCTGCAAATATCTCATCCAGGAAGTCGCTGTCCTTCGAATTCATCGTCTGTCTGCATATTCAAAAAGGACAATTCAAACCCTGCTTTGTTTGGCGTCAGGCACATTACGAAAAATGCAGTTCGTCAACTTGATGATACAACAATTGTATTTCAATAATATCTACCCAATCGTAATGTTGCGCATTGACGACACCAATCGCATCATTGCAAAAAAGCCCACACAAAGGCTGGGCAAGGAAACTACAAAGTTAAGTGGGTGGAAGAGTATACATACTCCCGGGTTGACACGTCTGAGGTGCACCCGCAGCATGCAGGCGAAGCTGCAACGGTGCTTTATGCATAAGAATTATCGGCTATCATCAATGCCTTAGGTGTTAGAGTTCCATGGTGCTAATCCACTAGCGACGACAAGAGCTTCTAATGAAGCGCGAGGTAATATCCCGGTGACCGCTCCCCCATCTGCAAATCCACCTTGGCCCCAGTTCAGACAAACTCCTGTGACGTGTTTATAACCGCAATCAACTGCAACCCACAGCCAGGCTTCGGTATACACTCGCGATCTTGGTGCACTAGACACGAAGTAGACGTGCCCAGCGTCGCCGCATGTCGAACCTTCTAGTCTTGAATAAGGGTGGATATGGAAACCAGAATTTATAAACACATATCGTATGATTATGACCCCGATGATTTTGGTAGTCTGAGTGGAAACCTACATGCCGATGAGGATTGTTTTCCAAAGAAAAATTAGTGGCGGAGTCAGTAGGCAAGTAAAGGTCTTGGGATGAAATATGTTTTGCCACTGTTGGTGAAAGGATTTACTGATTGGAAATACGCTAATTTAAAGTGTCATTATCCGGAACTATGAGAAGGATTAAAATTTCTACACTAAACCCTATGAGTTTTTTAGGGAGATGTACACGTACCTGCTGTAATACACCACGCAGCAGCAGTGTCCTATAAGACAAACCGAAGAAGAAACCGATCTGCCGCATGTATCACCAACTGCGTTTTGCCCGCTTGTGTTTACCAAGATTACAAACAACGTTCGAGGTTGGGAAACTTTTGTATTTAAGCGGCACACATGGTTCAAATAAATTAATGCCTTAACTAATAGACATATTGTAGCGCTGCTGTGAATAACTATTTAAGTCGGACTTAGGAGATACACTATCTTACATGTTCTAAGCAATGATTAAAATATTTGTGTTTCTTCCGGGCACTTTTCCCCCAAAATGTGAGCGCATAGTTAAGGCAAAAATGATATTATATATTTTCCTTAAATTAGAGGGAAGGGTACTTATTAAGTAAAACATAACAGAAATATAATTTTTGCACTAACGCGCACATTTTTGTAGTTGATAAATTGTATGTAATCTATGCAATTTAGGTCAAATATTTAAAAAATATGGCTTTTTAACATCTTTTGCCATTTGTTTTATAATTATAAAATTATGAAAGATTGCATATATGTCAAGTCGCAGGTACCAAAGATTCAATGACACCATGCCTGATAATGCATTTTGCTTAAATGTTTGGATTTTTTGGACAAAGGGTTATTTAATGTAATGTTTTTTATGTTGATAAAAAGGAACTTTGGATAAATGAGCTACAATGTTTTAGTTACAATGCTATTTTTTTGATGAATGGGGATTTCTCAACATTTACATGTTTTCAAAAATATTTAATAAAACTACCGAGTTTCACCACCGTACTCTATTCACTAAGACATGTTCGGCCACAAACTTCAGTAAGTTTCAACACAATACAGTGCATTCATCATGCAAACCTATGTTTTTCCTAGAACAGTTATCGTGTTCCTTTGGTCCGGTTTATCCGGGTCAAACGTTTGCTAGAATATGATAACGCTTACTTTTAATATTTTCCCTTAACCGTGACTCTCATTTTGTTGATAGCATCCCAACCCAAGGCAAGTCAGACCGACTTAACTCCATGTTTTCTCTGTTCCGCCAACTACTTCTGGAAATGGGATGACCAAATCTGGGAGGGATCTGGAAGAGGCTTTTTTAAAGCAACTTGAAAATGAGGAATTTCACATGTCAAACATGGAAGTAGCTTCCTCGATTCCAGCATTTCTCGCCTGATTAATCTACAGACATTTTTATTTCCGTAATTTTGCACCTCGCCGCATTTCAAGCAATCGATTTGTAATTTACATCAGTCGACACGACCAAAAAGGGATAATCAGCATGTTTCATAACTGTTTCTCAAAAATCTGCTTCACGTTTCCTTTTTAATACATAAGTATTGTATTTAAGATAACTGGTGCATTGAGGTTGATTGCAAATACTTCAACTGAATGAACAAGATTAATATCTGAGTGAATCAGTGCATTGATCATGCTAGCATTTCATATTGGGTCTGATGTATCCATTGTCCCAGGATCATACGCCTTGTGGACTGCTGACATTCGCTCAATGGTGGGATCACTGATACGACACACCACCGACATGCGAAGTGGACAGGAGTTGCGAGATGAGGTTACGGTAGACCAGCCCAGTCGAAGAGATCTCGGTGGATGACAATTGAGGCAGGTGGATAATCTATACACGCGTTGAGCGCAATTAAGTGATCTGTAAATATTCCCTAAAGATATAGTGCCTCAGAATGTTCAGACGTGGAATGTGCTTCGTCATCTACCACTCCAAATAGATTATTTTGCCGTTCCGGACTTGGAATATTTTATGAGATGTCGCTTGAGACTGCATCCTCTTGGTTTACTAATTTTGCATCAAAATATATGAGATTTGCGTCTCGAAGATATTTCGAGTTTGGCTAATTTTTGCAAATGTAAAAAGTGAGCCCTGAATGCGACATAATAATAACTTTAAGCCACATAAGAACGCAGTGTAAGCATTCCAGTTACTATGTTATTATTGTCTGCCCTATTTTTAATCATAATAATTTTTTTCTAGCATCATCTAAAATTTTTATCCTATAGAGCAGTACCTGGGAACCGCAAATTTAGTATGAGACTCGCCCGAATTTACCTTATATTGCGCACAAAAGGAAACAATAATAATCTATGAAGTCTTGACGCCCACGATGGGTTAGACATGCTGTAACGTCTAGCAGTGTGTACGTATTGTCTTAAACAATAAATATATGTTATTCACAGTATGCAACCATTATTTTCTTGATCAGCGCTTGCAAATATGAAGTTTAGTGAGGATTGCCGTAATTTGAACGCAAACAAAATGTAGTCGCAACGTGAACCAGAACTGTAAAATATGAGGATTGATAGAAATGCTATTGTTAGTTGATGTTATAGGATAGCATATTCACGCCTCCATGTTATACAACTACAGGGTTTCAACGGAATCGATTTCTGTGACGTATCCATACGAAAAAATCAAAGTTGAGCGAAAAAGTATTGTTAATTATAGATTCAAACAATTTGAAATGTTTTGTTGAAGCATATGGTAACAGATGTGGTTGCACAGGCTCCCAGGTGGCTTGTTTTTTTATGCTAATCCTGAAAATGACCTAAATTTTGACTTACAGGTTTAGATTGACCTTATGTTACTTAATGGTGCCTGGATGGTCCGGCTTTTTCCCCGTAAATTTGACCCGACAGGGTTGGAGAGCTAATGTAGCGGACTTTCCGCAACCGAGCGTGAGTGAAACCCGTTCACTGGTCTGGTGGCGTCAATGACTTATCAATATTTCATTGTTTAATGTCATCCGCTCACTCATCCTCACACAAAGCTAAAAACGGTTGTATTTCATGTCGTCCGTTATGCCTCTTTTCTCGATTTGGCCGGTCTAGTCTCAGTACCAAGAAATGCGAAACCGTGAGCCACGACAACGGATACTGCCAGTCACAACCGTCTGAAAAAGGGCAGTAGCATCTTTGTAGGCAGCAAATGCTAAAGCCCTTAGGGGTCAACCTGGGGCCATCTCCGAGAAAAATACACAATGTACACAATGTCCGTCCAGTACGCCTGAAGTTGGCCACGGCTTCAGGCATCACTTTCGTCCGACTGAAACAATTGCCCATCCCTGATCGGGCTTCAGCCCGATCTACCTCTCAAACTGCGATGAAATCAAACTCCGGGGCGAAATGCAGAGCTGTGTCACTTTCCGCACCACAATTTTAAATGAATCACATCACGTAGCCAAAATCTCCTAGGCCTGAATAGTGTTCAAATGATTGGGATTCACGGATCTCCCGACCAACTTCACCTGCAAGAACCATAATTTCCACATATATTCATCACCAGTAACCTAACCATTGATGTGGATGCGGACAGCGCTTCAGTGAACACCGTAGGCAGTGCCACACAATAGCTGCTGCGCTGTTCGCACCCTACCAGTGACGGTACGTGAAATCCAACGGGAGACGCACTCCAGCATGTCATCCTCTGCGTCCAAGGTAGATGGCCAGAGCGATCCATCACCCGAGACCCCGGTAGTTACTCTGGTTATACGAATCCTCCCCTGCTCTGAACGACTGTTTGACGTTTGGAGAACAAGTCAGCATGCCTATATCTCCCCATTCGCACGCTTCTAGTCCATGAACTCTTTTGGTCTAATGACCACAAATGGACTAACAAATCGATGGCCTAGTCAAGGACTACTCTCAATGCCAGCTATTCCTCAAGACTCTCCTACAGATATCTCCCATTCCCTTGGTCCCAGACACTGAAGTCCTGGTTTTTCGTACACACTGATTTAGCAGGACCCATCGACGGACTTTTGCGCCTTGTTTTGGTGCAAACTCTATCAAAGTGACCAGATGTCTTCCTAACGAGTTCTCACGCGACAATGAGGACAATACGAGATTTGTTTCAAATGTTTTAGCTAGCACGGAATTTCAGAAACAAATCCCTGGCAATGACTTCTAATTCACCTTACAGCTATTCCAGAAATTTTATACTCAACATATCACTGCACATATTCGTTTTACACCCTACCACCCGAAGTCAAATATGCGGGACAGACGCTTTTTTCAACACCTTGAAATGGTCTCTGTTCAAATTTCGTGGGGAGAAGATGACAACCGTCAATATCCAACAGAATTTTCCCTTGGAGGCTTGTTTTAGCACCAGAAAACAGATCAAATGGTTGTGAGCGGGCTTAAACTTCTAAGACAAGGTGATCTTAGACGCCAGCAACGGATAATACTCTGAATCGACCCGTAGAAGAAGCACTACTAGTTCTTCAAGAAAAAGTGCAACACTGTTCATCTCCTGATTGGGATTTCGTTGTTGTTTGCGCAATTCCCTTAGTCACGCCACTTCATTTGGTCATCCATTCTTTAAGGTTCCCCGCAGACAGTCTTCACCTGTTTATCTCCTGATCCATCGGTTCAACGTCTCTCAAAGCACATTTAAGCTGTTCATGGCTGAGACACGAAGTCTTCCGTCTGTCCTAGCTTTGGGGTTGGTGGTGACTTGTTTGGATAAGGTATTAGCTTAATCGCACCCGGGATTTATGTCTGTTTATCTGTTACTGTGACAATAACAATCCATTTGTGTACCTGACGCCTTCTGCATATACTGTCCATTATTTTCAAACCCATTACCAATTTCGTAACCTAATTTAATGTGCCAGAGTGGCTGGTGCCTTGGAGATTTAAATCAAGTTGATGTTGATGATCTTGGTTCTATTCAAAAAGGCCGCAGTCCAAGTTCCAACTGGCGAATTTTTCGGTACCGCCACATACCACTTTCACTACATTTTACAATACTGAGGCTTGCTTCGTAAAATCTTCCACCTACCCGATCAAATAGTAAGGCAGATTTTAAAGCTCTCCATAAAATAAACACACTAGCTGTTGAAAAACATGAAAACAGTACAACCTTGGTAAGAAGCCAAATGGACACTAAAGCACGAATAACAAGTCCTCAAAAGGGTTTCAGTAAAATAGCGGTACCGTTCTGCATCCACTTGAGTTGGCTACCAGGAAGACATGGGACTCGCAACTGAGTGACCAAACTTGACCGCGTAAAATCGAAGTAGACAGGTAGCTCCACAGTCTCGTCCAATCCAAAAGGCTCTGCCATAGCCTAAGTACGGAAAGAAGAAGCATAATCGAAGTTATCCCCTTAATCAAACCATGCGTAAGTTGTCACAAATGTAATTAGTAATGGGAAGAGTTCTCAGACAATTAAGAGACTGATTTACAGAAGATGAGGATTAGCAAACAGAAATTCAATACTCCAAAACGCATCATTATTTTACAAAAAAGTACAGTAATACAGGTAATGCTGACCATGATCTAATGAAAATCGGAGAGACTGACGTCCAAAAGCCATTTCCTATTTAGTGTGATGAATTTAAAGACAAATTTTGTAGTGTTTTCAATACGAATTTTCGGCACTTCTCGTATTTTATGGGGTACAGAAAGACTGCCATGGAGGAAACAAGCAGCCCCAAGACAACACTTATCAAGAAATTGACGATTTTCGTGTTATTGCACGACATTGGTCATCGTCATATCGAACATGCCTATATTTCAACCCATCCATTTTGACTGGACCATAGACGATCAAGGCACACATAAGTGGGTTTCTTCGATTTTTGTGGTCGGGCTTTTATCAAAATTTCCTTGCACGAGGATTTAAATCACGACACTAAGAACATGTTAGCTATCAATATTTGGGTGATGAAGTCAGTGACATTCAATTGCTCCAGCTCTGTTTTATAATTAAATGGATCTACATAATAGCCATGATAGCAAATATATTTACAACTTAAAAACGAATAGAATCTTGGCAGAAAAAAACATGTTGACGGAAGTACATTTAGGGTAGATTTACCCGTAACTACAACTCCTTAAAATTGTCTGATGTTTTGAACTAAAAGACTGCATACTTACCACAGATTTCCATGCGATTTGAATATCCGGCAAAGCTCCTACGGTTGGTGAAGCCGCATGGCAGTCGTCAAGCTTACCATTCTCGAGAACTGCACCCTCCAAGTGCAAGTCGGAGATCGTGAGTGCCTGATTTCCAAGATGACTTCCAAGGCCCCTATGAGCACGCGGCCAGTTCGACACAAGTTGTAACTGATCAATGGCCACCCCAAGATGACGGGCTGTCTGTTGTCGGACCACATTAAGGAACACTGACGGATTGAAAAGGTCGGCAAGGTTATAATTAACCTCAGTGGAAAGGAACTGGGTGGATGATTCAGCCCGAATTAACCATTTCTGCAACCAAAACAACAACTTTGGTAAAACTACACATTTTCTGTTGTCAAGTTTATAAGGGTTTTTATTAAAAGATAAAATATCATTCGAAACGCCACCACTCTCCATATCGCGGAGTATTCTTAGCCAACCAGTGTTAAAAGCGGTGAGTTTTATCGGCTTGCGAATTTAGGCTGTGGAGATAACCTGTACGCTAGTTTATTGTATTGAAATTGTAGTGAATCCTATGGATTCACGGCCAATATCCCTGTCGCCGCAGCCTCCAACATCCCCTTTTTTCACGGTGTGCCCGTCAGTCACGTGAGACCGCAGGTTCATTAATACCTCAACGCGTACCACCACCACCACCCGCTTTGGTTATGTGACCTCACAGACGCCTGTTTATTTTTAAATGTCCACTCAACTGTCCCAGTAAATACACACAACTTGGTTGAGCTGCCTAGTAAACGGTTGTGCCTGTCATCTCTGGCTTATTTTCTTTCTGGGGTTCTCCGTGTGGTAAAGGGCCTCGACAAAATCTTAACAATTCACAAATGGCGCTTTTTGAATACGCCCCAATATGCAGGTATTTAAAGTTACTTGATTAAATCAATACAACAGCACAAACAGTGAAAAGGCGTTCCCTTAACGTTGATTTTTTCCGGAAGGCTATTTTCCAGCTTGTGTTAAGCAAAATATATTTGTGTACGATTTAGAAGTGACATGGGTCAGGAGGGGACATTAATCAGGCGTTGTTTTACAGTAGTTTATGTCTGGTAATTAATGCAGCTTGGCCATAAATAAAAACTGAGTACAATTGCTTAACTAGGCCCTCCATTGAATTGTGGAAAAACAGCATGCACTGTCCACAAAGAAATCTTTGACTCGCATTTTCTTGAAATCCTTGTCAATTACAAGTGGATCCTCATTTAGAAAAAAATTTCTTTCTAAAAATTCTTAATGCGCTGGCCTGTCTATCAACGGGCAGCAGTCGACGAATATGGGAAGCCCTCAGTTCTCAATGGTAGCTACGGAATCTTTTTCATGAAGATCAGGTTTCAGTGCAGCGAACACTACAAGTGGCTCCAGTGGACTGTCGAAATGTGCCCACGATTTATAATAATCACTGAGTAATTCTTTACTAAATTAAGATGAAAAGCGTTAGTCGCCGCAATGATCCATCTTGAACTCGATGATTTCGATTAAAGCCAGAAAGGTGAAACTAAAAATGGTTACAAATACAACATAGCTTGTAAAATAGCCTCTAAAAATCTGCAACCGCTTGCTCAAATATTTTCATTCAGTATTCGAAAAATTACCATCCATAAATTGTTTGAGATGGTTAAAGCAATAACTGTGTTGCTGTTGGACAAACTTCTCAAGAATTAGTCTGAAAACTGAATGGTCAAGTGATTTCACCACATTATTAAATGGATGGCAAACCTGAATGTACTTGGACGTACCTCCATAGCCTGGGTCTTTGCAATTAGAATTCTGAGGAAAGACGAGTAGTCTTCCGGTCCTGTGCTCCAAGCCTTCAGCCACGAAGTAGGTGTCTCGCCACGCAAAATCGAATGGATCACCGCGTCCATCTCCTGCGTTAGAACACACGTCCCGCGCAGGAATTTCGAAATCGAGCCCAGGTTATGGTGGACCGTGGCAATGAGGCTGAGTGCACTGGTCATTTCGCGGTGCAAAAAGGAAAGAACTGGGGACTCTTTGGCATCGCGCAGCGACCTTTCCCCCAGTTTCATCAAAATCTCATATAAATTCCCGTTTTTATTCTGAAAAAAGTGGTATCGGAAGAGATGCGACAAGTTACGGATAACGATGTGAAAGTATTTTTTTCGCAGCCTTACTGAACTTTTAGCATGATAGTTCTGCATGCACGATTGATTTTACGTCTGGGTGAAATTGATATACCAAAGTAACACCTTGTCATTTGCGGATTGACCTTTCCCAACGTGGTTTATTATTGTCGAACTGGGTTTATTACCAGTTGGCTTGGTAAATATACGTACCCCTGTGCTTTGCTTTAGTCCTAAATTGGTCTCTTACTTCATCAAGCTTCCACACAGGCTCGAGTAGCCTTGACAATTGTGTGTTCTTTAGATTAAACTTGCCACATCGGAATCAATTTCACGGAAAGACCGAAAAAGGGCATTACGGGTAAAAGACACCCAGAATGGTTGAGTTTCTTCCAGAGGGCTAATGCAGGACCAAGTTCTCTCAGCCAGAGACTTCTGTCATTTTGATTGGAGGATCCGACTATTCGTTGGAGCATTCGAAGCTGCCCGAGGACATTTGCTGAAGCAATATGCTGAGCCGTCTTCCCAATGTTTGCTGGTAACCCCAGATCTCTTGGTTTATCTACGTCTGAGAGTGCATCAATGGCGGTCACGTAGTCCTATTAAGACAAAGGAACTTAATTTACACCAAAACATGGCAACTATCGGTCAACCAATAAGAAAACCCTTTGTTAAATATGTATGCATTTTATAATTTTCCATAACACACAAACTCATTGGGCCCTCTCTTTCTCATTGTTGGAGTCGGTGGGGGAGTACTAAACTCCCAACAGGAAAGTGGCTTAAGAAAAACCTAGGCCATTAGCATGACATATTTACACTTCAAAATTTTCTGGGGCCTTCATGGTAATTGCCCTGTCCTTCGTTAAATATAGCCATGCTGTGAAAGTATGTGTGCTTGTGTTATATTCTGTGCCCCGACTGCACTAAGCGGATACCCTGAAAAATTTAGAGCAGTAGAAATGACGGAAAAAGCCCTTCACTAGATAGCTCAACCTAGTTTCATTTGTTCAGGCGTAAACGTTCACTGGAAGGACGACGAGAAATGGGGGCTGTTGGTGAATAGGACTCAGGTTAATTGACATATGCATGAGCAACTGAACGGGAGGCGTGGTAATTGACAAGAAGAGTATGTGCTCACAAACGTCGTGACCAGACGTGTCCCCATGAGTTATGCAGTGGCTGAGACAAAGGGGACGGGGTGCTGGAATACGCGGCGACAGAGTTGATGAACGTGATTCATCACGAATTACTACAATCTTCATCATTGATATTTCGACAAAATTTTATCAAGAGATTCTCCCAGATGTCGTTATAGATGGGGCTGCGACCACTCTTGGAAAGCCATTTGCCATGTTCAATCAACTACTTTCAAAGTCGATCGGAATTAGAGAGGGTAACTTGAATTAATTAATTGCGCAAGTGTACTTGGTTTTGAAGCTCCTGGTTCCTAGGACCTTATTAGTTGTTTCTTTATAATAATGACTGAAACAAAATGAAGTGGGATTACCTCTTTTCCTTCCCCTACAAGTTAATCTTCCCATCACCCGTCTATCGGCTTGCCCGTTGACGCTTCTTTGAACAGGTTTATCGGAATTGGATTAATTTGTGTAACCCACCTTTACTATGTCTACTATTTAAGGGTTTCCTTAAATTCGTACTGTTCATATAAGCACTTAACAGATGCGCTCACTCATAAATTTTGAACACGGAACTGGTTTCTGCCTGATATAGCTATGTTCTCTTTGTTCCTTAGTAGTACTCCAGAGTAAACGTAGAAGTGTTACAATTGGTGACACCAATCGAAACTTAATGGTCGCAGTACGTGCATGTAAGACTTGCCCAAAATACTTCGAAAATGTTCATACCGGTATGAACTATATGTCCTCAAAATCTACTTGTTGATTTTAGTTTAATTCCTCATGTTTCGATTGTTTTTCATTTACTTGATTGTCATTCAAATGTGACAATCGCACATGTGGTGGCACATTGGCACATAACAAGGAGAAGCGATTTTGACTAAATAAGGTTGGAGATCGTTGGCCACGACGTGGGGCTGCATCCCCCAGCGGCGTCCCACAAATTGATTACCCAACCACGAACTATGTTAACTTCTGTGATATCTGCCAAGATAACCTAGGCAGAGCACAGATCCCATGCCTTACCTCCTCAATGAAAAGTCTACTCCCCGTTTGTTTTTCGGTCAATCAAACTCCGATGGACAAGCCCTTTCCAGGAACGCACACATCTCCCGGCCTTGACTTTCCGGCTATGCTAAACTCGATTCCCGACTCAACCCAGTCCTTACGGGCCTGCCTCGATTCTCGAACCACGACAACTATCAGTTGTCACGTGGTACCATTCTGACAGTTAGCATTTCAGATATCGTGTTGGAAGAAAAGGTTACGTAGTCGAAATCAAGAATAGCCTCAATCGTCTCTCAGCGATGCTCAATCACCACAATTATGTCTTGGAAATAGCAGTTTGCCTTGGTTGTTTGTAGGCAGTAAGACAGCCTAGATCAGCTTCTATTCACCACCAATAATCTTGAGGCAGTATGCGTACAACTAACAGTTCGGATAGCCGACAGCAAGTAAAGGCTGATATCGCCCATCAGCACGCAGCAACGAATTTGCTCTCGACCGCGCGTGCTTGGCCTCATCTCTCGACTCTTGGATGACGTGCTTCGACTATCAATTATCTACCTATTCAGTTACTTCGATGATCGCCAGTCGCGGATAGTTTGTCATGGGGTTTGCTTGAGTAACCATGAATTGTTGACGCCAGTGCCACATCGTGGCTCCTACACAGCAAATAATTCCCTCAAGCACGATTGGTTCTAGTTTTCGAAACTCGTGTCCTATTCATGTGAAAACAGCATCTCCGTCAATCCCCCACAAGTAGTTTTTACTCCCGTCAGAAAGTTCCCGCAAAGTATTAATGTGTTCTCATTTTGTTGCGCAGGTGTTGGTAGACGTAGCAGATGAATTGATCAATTTATTAGATCCTGTAACTTTGAAAACCAAAATTGAGAGTCTACAAGTAACGCTCTTCGTCAACTGTTCAGCTCCAACGAAACTCGTTTAAAACACCTTAAACCTTGTTTTCAACTAGATGGTTGGTCGCCATCTCAGCTTTCTCGGCAAATGCACTTTCTGGCTGGCACTAACAGAGTTTACGACAACCCTGTTGATGCTGCAATACTATTGGTGAAAAAAAACAGGATTAGGAGGTTGGTGCATAACGTTTCATACTCACCTTTAACTATCAGTAAGTTTTACGATAGATAAGAAATCACCTTGAAAATTTTACTGACAAATGGACTATAATCCACACAAACAGACTGCTTCAAGACCACCAGTTGTATTAACTACGTTGGTTTAAACTAGTTCGGCTTACCTTAATATTTACTGAACTCGGTAGCCTCAATGGCCCTAACTGACGCTGATTGAGCGTGTCTTCACAGAAAATTTGGTTGAGAAATGACTCCAAGACCTTGACATCGAATGGGTTGTCCATGCGTCCGCCGTAAATAGCATTACAAAGCAAACCCCTGATGGATGACCATGGTGCTGATGCTGGCGTTTTTGAGGTTGTGGGTGGGAAAAGACGATTAAGTATGTCAGCTGCAGCTCGAATATCAACGAGAGTGAATTCGTAAAATTTAGTCCAACCCTAAAAGTGCATTGGTTTGATCATTTTTCACCCAAAATACAGTCACAAGTTGCGTGAAAATACTTTTACCTGCGGAATAAAGCATCGACGTTCTTGGAGGACGGCGTGGAACCAAGCGAGACTAGCAAGAGCCGTTGACCTCGTCACTGAGTTGCCTTTTGCCACGTATTCGGCGTTCCAACTTTCATAAGTCCGCTTCATATTGTTTCTCAGACCCGGTGGAGCCTGTAATTCAATAACATGTTCTTATTTCACCATAAAACTAGCTTAGTTGTTCTGATCAAGTAGTCTCACAAATTGAAGTCATATTTCTGATTTCTGTTCTCATGTTTCCTAATATTTTTCTTTCGCCGAGGTTAACAGAGTCCCACATTAAAGGCGTTAACTATGGTCACATGTGTGACGTGCTCCATTTTGGTAACACATGTCGTTCTGGTCGGCCCTTTGTCGCCTTGTATTCTCCCTCCACCCCGCCTTCCCTCCTTCCTCCACATCGCCTCGGCTCTTGTCAGGCTTATGCATCAGCGAGTCAATTCTAACTGTCCCTGAGGCCATCAAAACCATCCGCTCGCCTTACCTACAATAAAGTGCTCAGTCCTATATCCTTTTGCAATATACTCGGTAGTTTAGACTACGGCAGGTTCCGATATTCAAACATGATAGTGTGGCCGCCCTTGATTAAAAATCTGACAGTAAATACTCCTTCTAGTTTTACTCCCAGCTAAACGTCTCATATATTGACTCGTATTCCCCTATTTTTACTAACCGCATTTTTTTCGGTTGTGAAATGTAATGTAATGTAAGCATGGCAGTCGATGAGTGAAAACCCACGAATATTAGACTTGCCATTCGATGCTAAACGAGGGTCGGATGATCTAGGATCTATTCAATTTATCCTTGGTCGGTAGCATTTGATGACAAAGATCGTTAACACGTCCTTTTTTTAAGTGAGTTAACAATTAAATTAATTTTAAAAAAACAGATCTGGAAAGAGTATGAGTCCTAAGACCCTTGAAAATGCGGAAAAATGGCTGGGTTATACCTCATAGGCCACTTTGAGACAGGATTGTAAAAGAGTCGACGGGAAATTAGAGTGCGGCTCCGTTGTCAACCACAAACGGAAGTCTGGATGAGGCCACTGGTCCACATCGGCTCCTTGCGCTTCTGCCTTGCTGTGGGGTTGAACCACGGAGTTAATGTGCTTCTCCAGAACTGGGAGCCAATGAGTGACAAGGTGGAGGTTCTTCAGGCACACCCACCCACCCGACTTGGCGGCTTTGGTGATTTCAACTAGAGCGTTCTCCAACTGCCCTTGGCCCATAGCAACTTCGCGATAAGCATGCTTGTCAGCAGCTTCGGCCAACTCCTGTGAGGGATCAGTTCCAGGGCTAATGATTATTAGTATTGGCTCGCAAGAACTGGTTTCGGCCGCGAACAGGCGTTGAAGACTTGCACTCGAAGGTGAGAGGTGAGGTAGGTCTGGTTGGGAGAAAAACGGGTTGAAAAACATGGGCATAGCGTTTGGCAACCACCATCATATGGAAATAAACTTCTCGTACTCGTATTTTGCAAGCTTCTGACTCAAACCAATAAGTTCTCCCAGATTGCTTTTTGTTGTTACTGCGGTTTTACAGACAAACACCCCCAAATGGAGCTTTTAAGTTGCTAAAAGTAGCTGTTAAAGGACAGATGGATAAGGCACTTGGTAGTAATAGGTACATAAATTATCAAACCACAGACAATTCCAACCAATCCCTAGTAAGTCAAGAGGGCCTACTAAGCAGTCTTCACAACTTATTTAGAGGCTTAGATAACTAATTTCCATAACCCAGCACATTTAATAATAAGCTAATGACTTTTATGTGGGTATATACTCGGGAACATGATGAACACCCCTTACCTGCAATCCTAAAAACGATAATGTAAATTGGCCAAATAGTATTTCGAGTTTTAAACTTGGGACGTCGAACCCATCAATGTGGATTTTGAAGTAGATTAAGTAAAACCTCAATTGGGAACATCTGCGAAATCAGTTTCTCAGTGATTCGACTCCTAGTAGATCCTTCGACTTCAATGTGTTCTTAATTCAGCACCCGAACTCTAGGCTGTGGTTATGCGATTTCTAGCGTCCACGACACACTCCTACCGTCAGCAACGATGCCCTTACATCGTATGTGTGAGGGGGCATTTCTTATTATAAAGCGGATTTGTAGATGAAAACTTATCCACCTACTCGACTCTCGCAAATTCAGCTCTAAACGGATAATCATTTCTAAGGTTGTTGACCAAAAAGTAAATAAAGGAAGTTCAACAAACTAAGGCACTCCTGCAGTTTAAAGTCCACGCAACCTGAATTTATTACACCAGTTTCAATATGTCTCATTAGTATTTCAAGTTCGCATCCGGCTTACTCGAAAATAATAAACTCAATCAAATAATAGTCCGTAAAAAACACGAATGATCCGCAGATGTGCTAATAAGGGTCTGGTTTTTAAGAATGTCACTATAGAGACCCTGGAACGCGGCAGGTGTATTCGAGTTCTAATGCATTTGATGGCTCTAAATGTAAAAACCTCCATTCTGGTAGTATTGAACCACTTCTACTGCTGGCATAAAATTTCTTAAAGCAAACATATTCATACCAAGGGTTTTCTTAGCAAATTGCTTCATTGCTCGGTAAAGTTCTGTGGGCCGAAGAGCCTGAACGGTGAGAAGGACTTGAAAGTCCGTCGAAGAGAGTTTGTCAAATGCTGCAGGCAACTTTCCCTCCTCAGCATCTTCAGATTTCATCCAACTGGACCAAAGCTCGGTCTTGTCAAAGTGAAGTTTGCTGTACAGTACTGATTGGTCGGCCTAGAGAAAGTACAAATTGCCGGGTATTGACAGCAGCCATGCATGCACAAAGACCTAAACTTACCCGATTTTGCTATCTGTGCTTTTCACTGATGGGTCCCTGTTAAAACCACAACTGTTGGATGAGCATTAAATTTGCAAATAGGGTACAACACTACAATCTCAAATTAGATGAATTCTTTTTCCTTTAGTAAAACTGTATTTTTTACTGCATCAGTTGTAGATTATCCATGTTGTTTTAAAAGGACAAATAGCTTAGTGAAATGTACGCTAGTCATGTTGACCACGAACTCGCATTCAGTTATTTGGATTAAATAACCGGACATCATAGTTTTTAAAATCGTTTTTAGGAACACGCGTCTATCTGTTTTCGTCAATTGAGTATAAATTCTAGTTGCATTTTCCACTTCACACATGTTAGACCGTGTCAAAATACTAAAATAAACTCAGCACTAAATTTTCTTCTGCCGAATTTGTTTTCTTACGCATGTAAATAGCTCAACATAAGATGTTCGAAAAAGCAATTAAGTTAAAATAAATGAATGGTGTTTCACATTCACACTTCTTATTTTGCTTTGGCGGCCGTATAACACCGAAGAGAATATTTCACGAACGGAACGATGCAATCAAGGCACAGGTTAAACGACTGAATGTATTTTTCAAACCACCTTTTTCAGTTTATTTTTTTTGCACGACTCATTTACATCCTTTATGCTGATTTAGAAAGGAGTTATGAATTGCCCTGTGATTGAACGTTTCTAGGGGGCATTTAGAAGACAGTAAAATTTCGGTGGTAGATTCGTTAAACGTTGAATTATTGTAGACAGAAGCATGTTGGTTGGTATAATTCACTCGCCCCTTAGGCACACGTGCAGCACGAATTTCTGTAAATACATGCATTAAATTCACCTCGAATTATCTTGCTGGGTCATTGAAACCCCAAAGAAAGGTAAGAATGAATCTAAAGCTGATTTACCCGGAGGCTGCTCACTGCGGCTTTTCTGTCAGCAGGGATCCACAGGGGGAGGTTTTCTGTGTCGATTTTGCAATCAGAAGATGGTCCGTGAATGAAAAACTTCCACTCCTAGAATATAGGAAATGGTGTATCTGCAATTTTATGCCATTAATAAAACAATTGTGTGCCTCCATTCTCCTGTGAAACGATTTGGGCGCAACAAACAATTCTTCGAAAAATAAATGAACAAGTAAGGTTTAATGTCGAATCCGAAATTATAATTTATTATTATGAGTGAAGAAATTTGATCAAAATTAATTAGTTTGCAGTACACGTGCAGTTCTAAATGAAACTGACACATTATCGGAACATAAACCAGTTAATGGAAGCCTTTATTACTATATCCTTCCACCTTTGAGGGGAGCAAAAAAATTAAAAAATGTACAATACACAACATTTGATCGTGCGGAGATTCAATATTTCTAGTCTGGCGGACAAGTTTTACCGCATGTGAATGTGCTGTAATCGTGACATGAGCAAAGACGATGCGAAAGGATTTTATGCCACCTTACCAAACATTTAAAGTGATTCCTCTTCCCTGTGTGACTTATTCAGCATCTGGATGAAGCTGGAACGCCTTAGTAACACCCTGTCTTTTGAAAATCAACTTTTCCCATGTGTTTCGCTGTACACTTCTGAATCGCTTATGCACTGATACTTCTCTTTCGTTTTGGACACCAAAAAAAACTTATCTATCCACCGAGAGGTGCACATGTGAGTAATTTGCAGCTTAAAATAAACTTAAAATTTGGTACCAAAGTCCTTAGATTGACACCGTAGGACAACTACAAATAATCGGCTATCCCAGTCTACTATCGAACAACATGTAATCGGCTATCCCAGTCTACTATCGAACAACATGTGATAAAAAATTGCACTTTACTTTCATAAGTACGAATGACTCAACCTTGCAAAAGGCGGCTGCTCTCTAGACCTTCTTCCGTATTAGCACGTTGCATAAGTCAACCAAATATGTAATCATTTAATTGAAAGCAACCTTATAAAGATAAAAGGGCTTATTTTGATACGCGGCACTTTTTAGTGAATGCGTTCTGTATTTTGATATAGATGCCAGATAAAACTAGGTGTATTGCAGTTGTTTGGTTTTTTTAAACTCAATAATTTGGATTAAAAACTAATTGAACCACCTGGCCGATACTAGGTCACCATGATGTAAAAAACTGCGCTTGCTACAAGGCTTTTGCTAAAAGTTAAGGAGATAAGTGTAGAGGAGTAGTATCCGACGTGGACAAATGATATACTATGAGCTATTTCAAGCAACACATTAGCACTTAGTATTTTCACCACTTGATTCAAGGCCCTTTTTCCAACCTCTTTCTGCCGTAAATTTCCTACTGACATTTGTGTTACTAGATCCGAGAGATCCTCTAAACCTCACTCACCCGTAATCAGTCTAATTTCGTATCTTGCTTAGACTTGGACGAAGCGGTGACGTGGTGATGAATATTAGGCGTGTATACAAAGTGGCTACATGACGTAGAAGTAATATTCTTTTGCAACGTTACTAGTACTGAATCGAAATGATTTTTACCACCGGTCAAGAAAGAACGATCGATATTTACTGGTTCTGTATAGTTATATGGGACAAGCGTTGTGCGAATTTCTTTAGTTTCACAACAATTTGGTGCAGGATTCACAATTTGTATAAGCCCTAAGAACGAACGGTAAAGGAACACCTTTGTAGTCCACACCACGGCCATATTATTTACTTAAAAGCCTTTGATGGTGTTGGTGCTTGTCACAGATGTCTGCCGTGTTTAAATTTCATTGTAGATTGCACTTCTCAAAAGGATGGCATCTTAGTAGTAAAAAAAAGAGATGTAAAGCAAACCACCTCTTGCTTCTGTTGCTTATTTGGATTATTGATTGTTTTTTGTTGAGTTTGTAACATTTATTTGGCGGACAGCCACGGTTTTTCGCAAGACGGCTAAAAGCATCAGCTAGAGATGCGGATGTTTGGATGGGTAATGTGGTAATGGATCATAATCAACCTCAAAGCCACTGGCGTAAGTCTTCATATTGCGATCGGGGGGGGGACACTAAATGATAAAACCTTGCATTGCAACTCTGATTTACCAAGACATACTTTGGCATACTCTAAGTGATTCATGCAAAAGGTTGAGAATAGAACAAGAATAAGGAAAGTAAATGACAGTTTGGTTTACCATCATAAAATTCAACATCTTTACTTGACGACTTGACTTACACTTTCCGTGACTTCCTTTGGACGCAAGCAGCGAGTGAGATGAACCAGGAATGTAAGCCTGTCTGCCTTAAAGAGCGCTCGCAGAACACGTTCCACGACCAGTGTCTCCACTCGTCTCAATAGAAAGGCCAGCCTCGTACTCGTGGGAGTTGAAGGATCCTAGAAAGTGACGTTTTACTGCTGATTTAGTCCAAGTCCAAGTCTTTTACACTAATCCTAAAGGCTCCAAGTAAATGCAAAGCAAAACCTACCTGAGGAGTTGCAAGCGCCTTACGGAAGAGAGTAAGGAAACTGTTCAAACTGAACTGGTACATGTTATTGATTTTCATCAAATCACCAAGAGCGAAGAATACACGACTTCCACCCTCAGCCAATTGACGAAATTCTTTCCTTTCCTAAAAGCATCAGGTGTAAAGATTTAACAGTCCTCATGGTCGCAAACTTCAACTTGTGGTAGTTATTTTTAGCGTACGTTATCGAGTTCAGCTTGAAGGCGTTCAAACTCGGCAAGAGACTGGGCGACACAAACACTGGAACGCTTTGTTTTGTTGATGGATTCAAGAAGGTCAGTATTTTCCAGGATATTTCCATGTGCATTCACCAAATCCTAGAATAGTAATTTAAAGAAAAGAAAAGAGTGTTATTGTCGATAATTTCTACTTACATAATTTAGGAAAATTGTTTGTTATAAACAAATAAATTTTTAGAGCGGTAGGCAGTCAATTTTAGGAATGATGAGTTAATCAATCCTGACAGCCATATGGGACAAATATACACAGCATAAGGTTCGAGAATGTTCACAGATTATACATGTTAGGTTAGAAGTGTTCAATGCGGTATAGGGGCTTGAAATTACTTAGTGGTCTTCGTTAATCTTGAATGCTTTGCGTTATTTAATTGGCGCACACAAAATCGAATCTTCTGTTTCTCATATTCTAGGTCGCTACTTACGTCTCAATTAACACGATCAATAGTTAAAAATGGGATTTTAATAGATGAGACAACCATAAAACGCGCAGATATTACTACGAACCCCCTACCGATCCATATTAGAACTCTAGCCCTTACTGGTGATTATTACCATTTCTGTTCTTATATCCAGCACGCTCCTATGGTCCGTTAACCTGAATCATTTAATTCCACGAACACGTCACTAGGGTTTTTGTGCAAAGATTTTCTTTATAGACTTAACGCCTCTGAATGGTCCTTAAATCTTATTAGCTAATGTCGACCCCCATGGAGACAATACAGGAGTAGACCAAAGTGACTTCTAGTGTGTCTAGTGTAATAACGCTTACGAGAACAATTTTTTGCATTAAAACTATCAAAATGCAGAGGTTTTTACTAATAAAATAATTTAGCTTGAAATGAATTTCGAAGAAGGAGAAATGTGCGTGCGTGGTACTTCTTGTTCTCGGAGATAGGAAATTACTCAAATCCAAATGTACAGCAATAAGCAAGGCTGCTTTACGGTCCAATTGTTTATTGACACCCATGAAAGCCGAAAATGAAGATGATAGCGAAAAGGCGAAATCACAAGGTTGACACAATCGCATACTTGCCAAAGTGATCAATTCATTCTTGATGAAAATATGTGTCAGTATATGTGCAAATTTAATGTGTGGCCAACAGACAACAGTTGAGATGTTAAAAACATGACACTGCATTGTCTTTTTTTGTTAATCCTAACTTGCCACAGCAGAGAGGAAAAGATGGTACTGGACTTGAAAACGGACTTTATCGTGTTCGCGTGCTGATTTAATCAAGGGTGCTGAGCTACCATCTGCTAAGTAATCGGATAGAATTCAAGATTGCCTCGAATGGTCGAACAGTCACTACTTTCTGCGACTGCAAAGCTAGATTGCTTGGGAAGCAGTGTCGAGATTAAACAGCGCTAACCTCGAGAAGTCTATCTTCAAGCTGGGCAAGCTCTAGTTTCTTGTCTTCCTCTCCTTTCAACAACTCCAACCGACGGGTTTCGAGCTCAGCACGCTCATGCTGGAGAGTGATTTCTAACAATTGTCCCATTAGGCCGACACGTGTCGCCTGGAAGTTGACGACAGTGACCAGCGAGGAGGCACACTCCGGTGTGACAGCACCCACCGAAATGCACGGTTGACGGGTTGTCATGAAGAGACGGAAACTTTCGTTGTAATCCACCTCCTTTTCACCCAATTTTACTGTTGCCCGAGGACCTAAAATTGCCACCGCACTTAAGCTGTGGTAGAAGCAACCACCACGCTGGATTCAAAATCAAGTAGTGCTCTTATCTATTCCTTTTCCAAATGAAGCTCGAGTGTTTAATAACGAAAACATGCTACATATAAAGTGCTTCAGAAACAAAGTAACCGAATATTTGCCAACTTTTAAACCAAACAAAGGGTAATCTTTTAGTTTATCAAATGATTTTCGTCATGTTTTGTTCAGTAATTTAAGGTTTTCGGAAAGTTAAAATTTTTTTAGCGCCAGAAAAAAAGTGTCAAAGTATATTCTCTCACTTCAACCCTACGGTTACAGTCATTTACAGAAATGTAAAAATGGCGAAACAACTTAATTCAACTTTACCCTGAAATATGAGATCTTTTTTCAAGATCGGGAAAATAATCGGCGCAATTTGGTCAACTTCTTGAATAATGAGTGCTTTACCAAAGCGAACAGCTAGCTCCAGCACCGTAACAAAATTAGGGTTCTAAAATAACGAGCGAAGGTATGTAATTTGTAAGTGGTTCATAGGCGACAAGCCAAACAATTGTCAGACTTAAGTTGCATCGACATACCCGTTGGTCAGTGACTTCAATTTGTTGGTTTTTAAGTTGATTTTTCAACCAGCGAATAGTCCCTCCCGAAGGGCCAACAATAAATGGAAAGAGGGACGACTAAAATGAAGGCGATTGTGTGAGAGGTAGATCAATAATCGCGTTTTCTGTTTGGTGTAGTCCCTACCCTGAATTGGATCTCCCCTTAAATCTAAATCCTTCTAATAAGTGAACAAATAAGCGGTCTCTGGCGATGTTCAAAAGGTGTACACTTGTTTACGTTACCTAGACGATAAAGATTCAGATACACATAGCACAAACCATCGGTGCGCTGGTTCTGGCATAAGTTGTACGCTAACCCGATGATTTCATCTATAATGATCCAAGACTGCAGTAATTTTACGTGGATTAAAGTTGATTTAATGTGACTGGACGAGTCAACAACCAATCCCCAAACAAAATAGAGGAATTTCCCATTCATTGACATAGGTATCAGCAGGATCACCTCTTGCTCACCTAATTGGCCTACTAGTCAAATTTATTCATCAATTTGTGTATCAATTTGACCAGTGTTAGGGAACGGCAGGAACAAGTGACAATATTGTGTTTGTAGAGTTGCTGATTTTGGTTTTATACACAGGTATTGTTTGATTTGATATCAACGTAAGTGGGTATGAAGGAGCAATGGAAATGTCAACTAATCATGGTGGTAAATGCACCAAAAAGCATTCTAAACACGTCGATTGACCATTATCAAGTACAGTTTTGTGAAATATCCAGGTGAAATCCCCCCTTCTGCTACATTCAGAATCCACAGTATCTTTTATTTGCAAAACGTTTCCATGAGTCACCTGGAGAATCACAGCAGCATTTTCCACTGAGAGTTGGTCTGAGGGAAGCCCTTGGGATCTCCACTGAAGCTGCTCTTTTTCTGTTACCAGAAAGCGCTTGAAATCAAAGGGTACCGCTTTAGACGAGGCTTGCTTTGCAGGGATACTCAACCCAAGTTCTTCAATTTGTTGCCACCAGTTAGATACAGTGGCTTCGCGCTCGTCCTCTGAGCAAGCTGAGAGATAGGTAATAAATCCAGCGGATATTATCGCTGTGGCTGGTAATGTCTCCAACTGCCGAGTCAAAGACAAAACCTAGCAACAAAAAGAAACAAATGTGCAACTGAGACACGAAACGTCAAGAATCAAGACACAAGCGTTTCGGCATGCCTGTCGTTAGTGTAGGACAACAAACAAAAGGTGCTGCTCGGAAACATCAAACCTATCAGTGAAGCCCATTTATTCTCAAACCATCGCACATCTGAAAATATACAACCTCCCTCCATGACAAGTTGGCACTGCAACAGTCACCTGCCAGTTCCCCTACGGCATTTCAAGTATAATTTATCCATTATTAAAGTTGGTTTTCTACCTAGGGGATTTTGAATGCAGGCAGCAAAGTAATTTTGTTGTGTCATTCGATGCAATTTATGGCTTTTGTGGAAGCTTGTTTAGTTTGCAAATTAGGACCTTTCGGTCATAGGTTAAAATGAAGTAGAACAAACAAAATCTTTACCCATACCATCCTACAGCACAAAAAATAGGCCCCAGAACTTAAAGCAATCTTAACTCATACCCAACAGGAATAAATATAACGGCAACTTATACGTCCATAAATATTTACAATGACTGTAAAAATCAATCTACCCTACAAACTTCTAAACACTCCCGAGGCCTTTGTATCACTAGCAGCCATTTTTTAAGAATGACATTTATGAGAGGATACTCATTACGTTAAAGCCGCTCCAACGCTCTAAAGATGTAACTATAGGCCCAATTTAACTCTGCCTGACTTATAAACTTTAAAATTACTTCCAAAGGTGACTAACGAACCTGTTTTTCCCAGCGCACATGCTCGCCCTCTAATTCAGTGACCAGATTTTCTGCTACCGACAATGTGTGCTTGGCTTTCGACAGTTCGATCTGCAAGTCAGCCGCCGCCTTAGTGTGGGACTCAAAAGTGTGCCTCAGCTCCGCCACCCTCTTGTCCACTGTGTTGAGGTCGTCAGACAATTTCTTCATTGCAACTTGGGTGCCTTCGAGCGAGCGTTTGAGGGCAGCCTGTTCCTTCTCCAGCGGAGCGATTTTCTCGAGGACTTTGGCGAACTGGACATTCGCCTGAACCCATGCGGCCAACGGAGCTGCAGCTACAGACGCCCTTCTGGCAAACTGAGAGGCGGGGAAACACTCAAAGTGATGAGATAGCCAAAAACGACTAATTATTAATGGCGAATAGTAAAAATGGTCGGGAGAAGCATCATACATGAAGAGTGATTCGAGGAATTCAGTCTAGGTATAGATAACAGTTTTGAATTGTAAGACTTTGTAAATGAGTTTGTACCATACAAATAAGAAGTGATGCATCTAATACTTAATCAAAGTGACCATGCTGCTATTAATCTTCGAGACAATGCCACCATTAACCGTATTGACATGAGAGAATCACAAGGAAACAGTTGGCTTCTGAGACCATGCAAATATATTGCATCACAGGAACGTGATTTTAAGCTGAATTCTGCAAAAGGAGAACGGTTCGACACTGTGATGCACACCATTGGACCTTCAGTTCAATCAATACCATGAGTTATACCAAACTGAAGACTGAAGTACTAGCCCATTCAAGCATGATAACTTCCGACCACGTACGCATGAATGTATTCAGTATGTTGTGCGGAATTCATGAAGAAGTATGACCTGCCTTACTTACACAGTTTCTTAAGCAGTGAATTAATTTCGCCATAAATTAAGCCTCATTCATTTTAATACAAAGTTATGTCTTACGCTCGTGATGCGTTTTTTCTGGATTATCCCTTGATTACGCATACTGGCCAGTCAGTTTTTTTGGCTTCATGGCCATAACCTAAATATGCTTTTGGCCACTTTTACTTGCACATTAGAAAAATAAAACAGCGATGACAACGGGATCTAACATGCATTGGTGAGACCAAAAGTGAAACCCTGGTTTCGGGTGCATTCGCTGGTGAACTGGTACCTGAAAATACTTGGGTAAGTGTCCAACCAGACATGCAGACGAGACTCCGAAAATTTTAACACACACTCAACTCAGGACTCCCAAACGGTAGCTGGGTTGTTTGCATTCCTGATTGACACAGCCAGATTGATCCAAGGCATTTGAAGGAAACGTAAATCAACTGTGGGTCACTCAAAAAGGGACGCTGGTTTATTTTTCACTTTCCAAGTCTATAAACATTTGTTACCCGAATACAAATCTAGTTATAAGTACCTTTTAAATTCTGCGAACGTGAATAGTAACTAGACTCCTAAGAAGGTGAAAAGAGATATTCGTGCCTATTAACCCTTCAGTCAGCGCTGGTTCGAACTTAGACGCGTAGTCTACCAGTGACGTGGTTGATCGCAAGAACGTCCAGAAGCAAATAATGCACGGGTATAGATATTTTCGAGCTTACAAGCCAAGATAAAGAAAACGGATAGTGCAAAGCAACCTCATTAAAACCCTTTACATTTATGAGGGCAATAACAAGTCCTTAACGCATTATTAAAGAGAGTAAAACGCACACGTCTACAAAAATTCTCAACTTAAATCCGCTTTCCGTGCCACAGATTCTTCGTGTGGAATTCATAGCTTACAGTGGCTGGAACATGGAGACCACCAATTGGAAAGAGTTTAAAACCCACTAACTATAAAGTGTATCTCAATGGAAGTCAGAAATTGATTTTCAGTGTACAAAATCAAACTTACTTTTGGATTAAATGAGTCGGCGCACTTCTTTAACAGAACCTCAACACTATGCCTCAATTCTGGAGTTAGTCGTCTGGCGTCAAAATTTCTAATTTCTTCCTGTACCCCACGGCGGGCGAGAAAACTTCGCATACAGACCCATGACGTGTCCCGCACACCCATGAGGAGCAAAACGCCTTCAAGGATGTCTCGAATTACGTCCGGAGGTGCACGTAATGCCCGGATTTCTGAGAGGGCTTCAGGTCGAATACTCCCTACAGCCGATTGGGCTTCCTTTAAGATAGGACCAATTTCAGCCAATTCCGCATCGATTGTTTCTTTTCGCCGCTCCAGGTTAACGGCTTCAACAGCAGAACGCTTTTGAAGCTCTTGCATTTCTGCCCTTTGCTTGCCTGCTCCCTAAATACGGAAAAAGTACAGTATAAACCACACCCACCTGAAGAGAAATAGTTAATGGATGTGTTACAATAATGCTCACTGTTAGTCCCACAAGCAATTAAGGCTAGCCGAGCAATGATCGGGAAGTTGGTAAGCTACGACGACATCAATATTTTGCGCAAGAAATTTGCTACACCTGTGTCATACTTTTACTAAAAGGTTAAAATTCAGTTAATTGCCACGACAGATGCAAACAGATCTGGAGACCGCTAAACCCACGAAAGATAGTAATTAGAACTTTAACTCAGCTCTTCAAAAGTTTGGAGGGCAATCCATAAAGCACTTTTAACGGCTGACAGCGTTCTTCCGCCAACACTAAGCGGGGGTCGTAGTTCTACAGTGGCTTGTCACGGAGAAGTTTCAGTAAAGATGCCTATTTGAATAGGTGGTACCGGATCTTGTTGATAAACGTCCATTAACCCGGTCGTTGCAGTCTCAGACACGTCCCCTTTTTACGGTGTGCCCGTCAGCCACTCGAGACCATCTGATCATTCACTCCCCTGCATGTACCATCACTATCCGCTTTACCTATTTGACCATTCCGACACTTTCACGTGTAACTAATTCATCGGAATTATATCAGATATGCATGACAGTGGCACGCACAATACAACTTGGTTGAGGTATCTGGTAAACGGTTTTGCCTTGCCCTTTCCGGTCTTCCTAATCTTCGAGGGTGCCAGGGAAGTGTAATCGGGCTAGATTCAGAGCAGTGGCTCCAACATGGCTTGAGACTACATGCCCTCAGCATTCGGTGACCTCGATGTGATGACCTTCAACTATGTTTAATAGGAAAGGATTAGGATCTGTGAGTCCTAAAATTTCACTTGTTCACGCACACAGCCAACCCTCTTCACCATATTCTATGGAAGCTACAAATGTGCTATCTCGTGACGTCTTTTTGTTCCAAAGAACTACGGTAGCAAATTAGCAAGATAGTGTAATAAGCATCTTATAATCTCAGTTCGTACCTGCATGGCTGAGCTAATCTCAGTAAGAGCTTTGTCGGCCTCCTCTTGTTGTACCTTTAACTGACTTTCTTGTTTAGCCGCACTCAACTTTAGTGTATTAACATGCTGCTTAGCGTAATCCAATTTTGCCAAGCCCATTCGTAAACGGGATACTTGTGACTCCAGTTGTGCCCTGTGCTGCTTCTCGAGTTCCTTATATGTAGTACACAGCACAATAAAACGCCTTGGTGAGGCAAGCCTTGGGTGCGGAGTGGTGTTGTGAATCGCCAAGCAGGCTCGCGAGAAGACATTATTTTGGATACTGTCCGGTAGGGAAGGGACCAGCAATGGTGGGAGAAGAAGCTGGCTTCCTGATGACCATTTATCCAGCCAACTGACCTCACAGTACTTATACAAAGAAGGATTGGCATGCAGATGAGATATCAATCTTTCAGTATCGTCAATGTCGAGAAGAATGACTATGTGTAAGTTTTCGTGAACCCGTTCGGCAAAAAAACTCATTAGATTTCCTGCATATCCTGCTTCAGAAGCAGATTCCCGAAGACTTGTTCCCTCACCTGAGGCTAATGACATGGATTCTATATCTTCCGCGGAAATTAGCCCAGGAGCCTCCCCACAAGCTAGTAGACTGTTAATAGTCTCTAGAATGATATCTTGAACCAGCTGATAATCTTCCACTAACAGGATGGTTGGCACTCCCTCAACGCCTGCGGACTGACAAGCAGATTTTAAGTCGTTGGTGAAACTTCGTTTTGTATAATTGTGCCCAACCCTAAGGGTAAACACGGGGAGTTGATGAAAATGAGCGACAATACGAAGGGCAGACCGGCGGCCGATTCCACAACGGCCTGCCAATAATAAATTTCCATAAGGTCTGCTCAGCACTCGGTCCATTCTGGTAACCAGATCCAAAAAGTCTGGATGGACGACTAGTCCACTAGCCTTAGCATAAGACTCCTTAGCAAGTTGCTTCAAACCCGAGGAAACCATGTTATGTAACTGTTGGTAGGAATAGAGACTAAGCATTTTACCACGAGACGGTAGATCTGCCTTCGATGGTTGGGAATCGGTAGAGCTCCACGTAACGAACCAATGTTGCCCCTTTTGCGTAGGAGATACCTCGGTTTCGTCATCCGACTTAGATTCTACTGGATCACCGGTAGCAAATTTTGCGGCCAGTGCAGCCTGATTAATGATCTTTGATTGGGAAGCATTCCAGTCACTGTAGTCTATATCATTATCAGAGGCTCCACGAAGGAGACTAGAAAATACTCTGTCGAACTGTAATCTATGCTCTTCCCCAGGCAAGCGATCACGGAAAATCCGTCTAGCTTCATACCCAAATGAAATCCAGAGGTCGCTGGACTGACTGTCAGATGAGAAGTCGTATCGCAACATGCCAATTACCCAACGTGTCAAATCTCTCAGTGAAAAACTGCAGTGAGGGAATTTACTAGCTCTAAAGGTTGCCTCCATTTGAGACCAAGCATGCACCATCGTACTGGCTAGAATATGGAGTCGACCACAGCCTTCCATGATTTTCGACTTTGAAGTTAGAGCTCCAGGAGCGTATTTGTTGGTTTCCGTAGAAATATGCTGGAGGAGACAGTGATAAATCTTATTAAGTTCCTCTCGATCAGGATTGGTTACCGAAGCGACGCGGAGAAGTGACGTTAAACGTGGAGACATTGGGTAGCGACCCATCCCTCCCGAGGTGGAACTTGGCGTAAGTGTAGCAACCACCTGTATACCTTCAATTCCAATGAATTCCAAAGACGTTGTGTCGTAGTAGCCCTTGTATGTTAACATCTAGAATAGCAAATCAGTGGTCAATTTTCAAAAAAATTTAGTGTTTGAAAGGCAAGGACACGGAATAATCTCAAAATACTGACAAATATAGTTGTTAATTGGTATTTATGATATTTAGTCAAAGGGATATCTTGTAGAACCAGCGAGTGAACATCGATGACCAATTTTTCGTGCCTAATGAAATTTAGGTTAGAGTAATTTTTGGAAAATTAAAAGTAGAGATGATTATCAAATAGCTTGCGCATATATTGAATTACTGAAACACCAAGACACCTATGTGCATTCATCGGAAATTTGGTGGGTGAGTGTGTAGCATAGGAACCTTATTCACTCGTCTGCGTCTCTATGTGTCATTTGTAAAAGCAACCTTACAGGTTCCAATAAGACCCCACTTAGTGGCATAGATAGAAATTTCTATGTTGAACGATATCAACTTGAAATCTAGAACGACGTGTCATCTGTTGAAACCAACCAACCTGCTCTAGAAAGGCGACGACTTCACAGGATCCCCACTTGTCCGGCTTGGGAAGATTGAGGTCCCTCAGTAGGAGAACCAGTCGATCTCCATCCTTGGGCCGAAGCATCCGACTGGCACCGCTGGAACTATTACTAGTTACAGTTGTGCAGTACTGCGTGAGTTTTTCCAGTATGTGACTCGAGCGAGTTTGGGCTGCACACTGTACAACTGCGACCTGCACCTTTCTCTTACTCGCAGCCAGACAGTAATCAAGGAGTTGACTGAAATGGGGGAAAATGAGGCTTGTCAAGTACCCAAATACAGAATTTGAAAAATATGACTCCAGGCATCTCGGTTAGTTTTGTGCACTAAAATAGCCATTAGCATGATGGATTTAAACTTTGGATCAAAACGAAACAGTGGGCGAAATAAATCATGAGAACAGCGACGTGATGAGTTTAGGGTCAACGTATAACTACTGGACGCCAATCATATTTTTGTGACAAGCATGGCCATCAACATAGCTGACAGCGTTCCCAAAAAATAAGCATTACAGCACTTATTTATAGTACCTACAATACACACAAATTGTCTTGCGCTGTAAAAAGAGTTTAAACGCATTCAGTTAGTCATAGCAAAATTCCAACTTTAACGCATGGAACTACTAGGCAGGTAGGTCTAATTTTAACTACTGCACCAAGTACAAATGCAGGAATGCATATTGATTTTAATCTAAGGATTAACAAACTTAAGAAACGCCAATGTTTGTGTAAAACCACTAAGTTAATCTTTACGTCAAGCAAACGGAAGTATCATGCCACTTTGGAAAATAGGCACTGGGAGAACACTGAGTGTCGAATTAGTTTTTTGAAGCTTTACTTTAGTTATAAGCATTGAGTTAGTAAAGAAATTTCCTAAACCGACAACAGGCAATATGAGATCAGTATCTGCGATCAAGGCAATGCTCTATGTGGAATTTGCAAAGTCACAAATGGCTCTGTCATGTGCTACTACTAGATATACACTTTAATGCTTCAAAATGCTGAAACGATCAAATCGCTGCACTTATAAATTAGCCCACCTTTTACCACATCCCTCTGATCCAACGAGCAAAAATGATTGTTGGGCTTTTGGTTCTTTGAGCCACAGACGGAAGGAATCGGCCGAGCGGCGGGTATGGGCGGTTATCACAAGTGGCGGTTTTAGGCTAGAAGTGAAGTAATTCGGGAGTGGTGTCTTGAGAGGGGCGGTATCATCCATGTCGAAAACGTCGCACTCAAGCGACTTGATTATCTCATGATTGGCCAAAATTATGGCATGTGGGTATGGAATAAGCCGGGTGCCGGTTTGCTGATCTACCTGGTTAACAAAAATATAGGGAAGGGTTGTAAGTTGAGCTTAGTCGCAACGCGCATGCAACTTCTTGAAGTCCCTCACAGTCGGCATCGCGGATTAACAGAATGGGAATGAAAGGTGGAGGTAAAGGCGTGCAAAAGGGTGACGGACCTTCTGTTTACTTGACCTGTGACCGTGAACATGTGTTCTTCCATTTTTATTAATAATGACGCTGATATGTAAACAGAATTCGGAGATATTCAAATGGCTACTTTCGTGATTAAAGTCAATGTTCCGGGTATATCAAAAATAGATATAAATTCTGAATGATTCCTTCAGACCCCCATTCAAAAATATATTTTCAAATGATTTAGTTTTGGGTTAATTGGAAGATAAATAATTCAAGTCTTAGACTGGCTTAAATTGTGAGGAAACCGAGTGACAGCAAGTGAATGTTGACATATGGCAAGTTCTCCCATTCGTGCATTATTAGGAGGGAGGTTAATAAGAACGTTCAGCAAAAAACACAGGAAGAGGAACTGAAACAAGTTAGAAGAAGGGTACCAGCTGTAAACGAAGGAGAGCCATCGACAATTAGCACAGGGTTCGTTGCTCATGAAGGCTACAGAATGACCTGCATTAATCTGGATGGCGTGACGCTAATGTACGGTCTTAGTTTCTATCTTATTTCTCTTTTTGTACATTTTTGGCACTGTTAAATAGGTAGTAGTGCTCCCATTTCAAGGATAAGTATTCTATCCTTCGATTAAAATCAAAAAGCATAAGAGTGTAGAAGGATTCCATGATCCATGCGATTCATTCGACTTTGCACTTTAGCGAATGATTTTAATCTGTTGGCCTATATAAATGCACTTGAGACCCCAAACGAGGTTCATGCATTAAATTTTCCTTGAAAGGCTACGATATTTTCATACATAAAATGGCCCACTAGACTACCATGGAAACCCTGATATCATGTCGGCTTGTCAGTTTAGATCGTGCTGTTGTACCAGGGCTATTTAGCAAAATATTAATCCTACCTACATCATTGACGTGGTTCGCAGTAGTGATTTTCGAGTGATTTTACCAGGCGGTGGTTCCTTCGATTACTTAATGCAGTTATGCTACAAACCGCTGTACCTGCACATCAAGTGGATAAGACGGATCTGGTGGAGATTCACCCATTGCTTCAAAAACCTTTGCTGCAAACTGACATTTGGCTGCATCGGGCAGATTCGAGCCCAATCCGCGGATCAGTCCGACCGTAAATTTAGCCCTGTTTGTGGCGCCTGTCAGATGCGAGAGACCGTTGAGGATGGTGCCCGTGTAACTGGTTTCAAGTACGTATTCATTCTGAATGACAAATAGGCAGTCTTGTGATTTTCGGGAATCATTCTTAAATGAAATATAAAAACGTGCCTGTCTCAAAAATTTAAAAGCGATTTTTTTCTGCATTTCCTGAACAGTTGTCGTTCAATAACTACTACGTTTACAATAGAAGTGGATGGAGCGTGTTGTTAAGCGCCGTGTTTTTAAATTGACAAAATGTCCGTAAAAATCTATTTATCGAGCTTTAGAATTGTTATCTAGGCATGCGAAAATCGCCAGTTTGAACTAGAAACGTTTTCTACAATAGCAAAACCACATCAAATGTCTATGAACAGTAGAATTAGACAACATCAGTCAATACGAAAAAAACATTTGACTGCATAGATTGGGCAAATCAATCGATAGTTTATCAAGTGTTCGTTAGTGAGCCCACAAAAAAAGTAACTTCTTTGTCTTCTTTGATAAGGAATCCAAAGTTTTGAACTATTTTTGTCACCCCAACCATGTATGTACTTGAATACAATACACAACTTGCGAAATCATTGCTTTACGCACCCTCTTTTTGACCCAACTTAAGCATGTATAGAATGCAGCATCGATCATGTCTGAGAGGAATTGCTTATCTTCCTCGGGTTGTTTTCGTAGCCAAGCCTTAACTAACGAGGTAGGGTCAAGCATCTCGTCACTGATGAAGAGGACAGCCATTCGGGAAATCGTCGCCGGGCTGGCGCTGGCCAATTCATGCGTCTCAAAGATAAAGTTGACATTTTCCCTGAACTGAATGCGCTCTCCGCTTGGCAAAGTTAGCAGGTGGTTATCATCAAGGACGGAATTGAGAGACTCCACCCATTCTGGATCCACATCACCATCACAGATTATCCAAGATTTTGTGTCTAAACATTAACGGCATATCAAATTACATTTTACGATTTGTTCGTTTCACAATTGCGTGTGGTGAATGCCTTTAAGGAACAACCAAGGCCGCCAAGCCCACACTTAACTAATAAACCCACATCGAGAATCGAGACATTGAAATAAATGTTGAAAGGAGAGCAGTGAGGAGGAAAGATTGGTGCATTTGATGGGGTTTTTGGAATTTCATTTCCATGCAGAGGTATGTGAAGGCGATTACGTTAGCCATTTTATTTAACGAACATTTAATCAAAGTTCTAAATTTGGGATTTAATTGTTTACATGTTAAAAAATGGAAAAAAATATGGGCAAATAAAAGAAAACGTACAAGGATATAGGCAAACGTATATGTGATAATATTCTGAGCCAGCATAATTGCTTCAATCACTTTTAGGGGCAGAACGAGATTATCATTAGCATTTTAAATCGTTTCAGCGGAATAAGCTGGTCATTAAATGCAAAAAAAATTAGATTCATAGCAATGATTTCTTTCGTTATTTAATTTTTAGGGTACTAGGCTACCTGATTACCTGAGAGATCCTGAGCAACATTTCTAGCGCTCCGTGTTAACACACCATCGGTCCATTCCCTGGTATCAGGATCGGTATGTCCCAGTAAATGCGTTCGAGGCAATGCTTTGGGATTCATAATGTATCGCTTAATAGTGATACCAACCTTTTGTAATGCTCGCCACAGCACATGGAGTACTGTGGATTTTCCACAACCTGACGGACCGACAATTACAACACCCATCCTCTGAGTTAGTAGAGAATTGACTTCTAAGGCCTTCGAAACCTATAGGGAATGTTTAATTTTGAACGATTGGTATTAAAGGTAACACCAAAGTGCAAAACACTGATCTTACTTGCCGCTCGATAACCTCTAGGTGGTTTTCTCTCAGGACTTCGTGAATAGCTGCTGTGAGTTTTGTTGTTAAGTCGTCCTCTAGAACTCTCTCATGATGGCTCCGATCAGGAAAAACATCCCGAAGGAGTGCATCAAAACGCGTGGCGTCAGCATACGTTAATTTCGCTAGACTGCAGGCCCGCACAGACTGAAGAAGTAGTTGAGTCTCCAAATTTAGTGGATCCACGCATTGGGGAGAAGAGCCTTGCATGGTAACACGAGATTCGGGGTTCCCGAGGTTACCCTGCTGCCTTGCCTGGCGAAGTAGTATTCCCGCATTTCGAAGCACTGATTTGAGTTCTCGCAGACCCCAATCATAGTGACGTTGAACTGAGAGAAGTTGCCTGGTACAGAGTAAGCGAATTGGCTTCAAACAAGCTCACAAAATGCTCCTTAGAGAACCTGATCTTGGTTCGTTCCTGGTAACACTTATACAAGATGGCTTTTGGTAAATAATAGAAATCTTGCATTTGTTTTGGGTTAGTTACAAATACATGCTAATTGGATGAAATGAAGAAGGTAAGGGTGAAATCCCGAATATTTTCTTCTTAGCCTTTAAACAATTACAAAAATCTGTGTTTGCTTACGTGTAAAACACTTCAAATTGCAAACGCATTGGAGAAGGTTTGAAATAGTGTATCTTTTACTGGTCGTATTCTCTGTTCATGAGCCTAGAACACGAGATGGTAGCTGGTTTTGGGAATGATTGTAACTTCGCGGCTACTCTCAGATATTGACAAAACTGTGGAGAATCTTGGGGATTCACGACCGTCACAGATCATACATGATCGATTCGAGTGTTTCTTAAAACCCTGTGGGCCCAGCCCGATCACTGTTCCAACCGCGATCAACTCGAATGTCTATGCTGGATTATTATTGCGTGTAGAAAAAAATCCCACCAAGCCTCCTTGTCGCCGTACCAATGACAGGCCCCGTCCAAGTTTATGATCTATAAATACACACACACGCACAAACACGACACATGACAAAAGCCTGGTCGATTCAATAAACGGTTGAGATCTACCGTCGTTAGTTTCCTTAACCTTCTCCGGATACGTCGACACCTGTCGTGCCGCAGCTATACTTTATGCGAAATGTTTTACAACCCAATAAAACACTAAATAGTATCGATAAGGTAGTGAATGAGATACAACTCTTTCACTTTTAGTCAATGTGATCGTTTGCTTTAAAGTAACCAGAATGAAATCAGTTCTCACTTCGCACTAATCAGAATACCAGAGTATTTACTGATTTGAAAAGGGAAATTTGTACGATCGAATGCCCGATAAGATGTTTTTTGTAAGTTGTAGCAACAGTGCAGGCAAATGGAATCTTTGTTAATAATAAATTGCTTGTGATTAACACAATATTAACCGAACTTGCACGTGCACAGTTGAGCATGTGAAATTCTTTATTTGTATATACCCCCAAAAACACACAAACTCGCTTGCTATTGTATACAATACAACATATCGACACGTTCGAGAAGTTACAAAGGCAATGAGTATTAAGGGAGAAATGATCAGTTGAGAAATCTGTTAATGATAACGGTCTAATTTTATCTATATAACGCTTAAACAAATTCGCACATCTGGATGGCTGTGTTCAGCCAAAACTACAGCCACATACCATGAAACAAATAGAATTTCGGTGCAAAATGTGTTCTCCATGCTTTGCAGCCCCAGTGCTCGATTGAAATTTAGACGTACTAAGTCTCGCCCTGGGCTTCACATGCTGAATCTTACTCGCTGAATTTTATTTAACCCTTATTGACATGCCGTTTTGTCATGTTAACCCTGTTCCACACACAAAGACTCCAACTCGATTAAGCAGGCAAATAAAGGAACATCCCTTTTCATCATTTTTCGGATTTTACTAATGCTCACATGTCACAACTATTCGGTTATCTCAATGTAGAACCACTAATAACGGAAAATCCAACGAGTTTGATGCCGCGTGAGCCATAGGTAAACAATGATTAGACACGAGGATTCTACTGTCAAAGAAGTGCACTGAATTATTCGGCTACACATCGGACATTTTGAGGGCCACATGAAAATTGACGTAACGTACCTAGCTAGCGCAAAAATAGCAACAAGTTTCTTCCCCAATTCGCGGCCGTGGCTGAAGCCTAGCGAGAACAAAATCGTCTCAGCAATCAACTCGTTGTCTGGTTTGGTCATAGCGACGGGTCTAAAGAGTTGTTTCAAATTGTCGGGCAATTTTTGGCGTCCACCGTAGGCCTTGCCGGCGGGATTCATCGTTATGAATATGGCGGTGGTTGGATCGAGGTCGACACAGCTTCCCAACAGTTCCACAGATGACGCACCCGAGCGAAGCCCACTTTGTATGACCTGAATAGAACACATAAAGCCACTGAATGCAAAAGTTGCGGTGACAGTATCAAGTAAGTGTTCAAAAGTACCAAACCTGCACCAAACAGACATTCCAACTATTTATCCAAGGAAAATGATTCCCATGGGTGTTTACACGTCGCTATTGAGCATTAAAACGCATATGTGATGGTTTTGCTCTTACTGTAACGGGCATTATCTAGGTACAGGGTGAGCCAGTAGCAACCGAGCTGTCAGTGAATGCTTAGTTTTAAGTACCCCAGGAGCTATTTAAACTAACAAACGATGGATTACTTAATAGACGACCATCGCTAGGCGAAGCACGAAATGTATATTAGAAATTCGAAACCATGTGCTTTTGTTTCGGAAGAAGAATTGTGCTCGAGGATCAGCAAAGACTAATAGTAAAGGATGGACAACTGAAAACGTGTATTCAGTGCTAAAACGTTTTGTCAAACAGACACCAAAAGTACGATTCGCTGCCAATTAAAAAAAATTGATCAAATATGACATTCAGTCTCATTCACTACTTTGAACCAACAGGTTATTGCTAAGATCTTCCGTGACTTGGGGCTAATTCATGCTTGAAACTTTTAAAACAATCAGATTTTTGAAGCTACTTTTGTCCCTCGTCCGCGACAGTTCGCATGATGATTTTCAAAAGACCGTGACAGCTACTAACAAGAATAATTATCGAAATGTCGCGTAAAATACAGTTGAAAATATATCGTCCACACCTGCTCCATCTCGTTGAAAAAAAATCTCCCAATTCTTTGAATAACTCTGTAGGAAGCATGACAATTTTCTCAGTGAAAGTTATTTGGATGTGCGGAAAGACTTAGCAATATGCCTCCAAGATGGCTGATTATTGTACAAAACTCAACAAAGACTATGTTGACTTGTATTCTATTGTTGTGGGCCCCAGCATGTGGTCCTGAACCACGCCGGGGCCACGGAATTAACTCTGGCCTGATTACGCTTGCCTGATACCCGCGATGAAGAAAATGACCGGAGAGGACGGACACAACAGTTTACTTCAGAGCTCAATCTCGTTGGTGTCGTTGTGTCGTGTGTGGGGTTTGCGCGTGTGTATTTATACCTCGGATGTGGAGTCATACATGCGCTAACATCGAGACCTAGGTGTGAGGATAATCCAAGATAGATATTCGTGTGAATGAAGGGGGAGTTGAGGATTCGGGCGGCTGGCGCCATGCTGCGAAGAGGGGGAACCCTGTATCGGAGGCGGAGCGACCGGATTAAGGGGATGTGAATAAACACGATTTACAACACTATCTACCCTCAAAATCTACTCAAACACGATTCACAACACTGTCCTGTGATTGAGGAACGCGATTGGCACTTCGAGCACTTACTCTGGTTGTGCTCTATTTGACTTGTTTCATGTAAATTTGGATTAATATTTTATGACTTGAATGTCAGCAACTTATGTTATCTCAACTAAGACTATTTGGCTACACGGTTGCAGCCAAATAACTCGGACTATTTTAACCCATAACGTCGTCTTTCTTCTGCAGAGCATTGTTAGTAAATAAGGTAGTTTACGACTTATACTTATCATCGATGTTTTTTCGACTGAATTATACACTTACTTCAAGCACGACGTTATTTAGAGACACACAGCAACCGCTAAACCGTAACTCGAAAATGCGCCTTACTTGAATTTGCATGGAGACGGCAGACATTACAGCTTCCTCCAAGCGATTGAATTCATCAAAACATCCCCAAGCTCCACATTTAACGAGTCCGACAAAAATGCGGCCCATTGACTGTACATCAATCCCCTCATCGCAATTGAATACAAGAACCTTAAATGAAGAAAGAATGGCTTTTACAAGTGCGCTGTCAGACAAAATCACTTTCAAGTCAACCAACCTGTCTTCCGAGGAGACCACCCAATTGCTTTACGGATTCCGTCTTGCCAGTACCAGCGGGTCCGTAGGGATTTCCTCCCATACCCATCTGCATTGCCTGGGTCAAGGTGAGGTAACACCTGTCGGTCAGGGGTGTATGCACAAGCCTTGGGGCATTGCCCTGATACTCGAAGGTGTAAGAGAACTCTGCATCAGCCATGCGAATTTTGGGTACGGCGGCCGAACCGGCGTCGAAGTAGAATCTGAGCTGTTTTTGCCAGGGCCAGTCGCAGACAGAGGTTGTGGTTTGTTTGACCAAGTGATCAACAACGCTAATGCGGTGCCCTGTGTCTAGGATTAGGGTGAACAATTTGGCCGCTGACACACGAGAAAGGTTTTGAGAGCCCTCATCCGATGCTGCGTCCTGCTTTGTCATGTGAAGCCTCATGCTTGCTTCAGAGTAGGAATTGAGGGTGCTCTGGAAAACAGAAAAATCTATAGTGGTCGAAAAAAGTAAAACTTAGTGACAGGGCTAGTGTAGGTGTACAAACACCAACGTCTAATCAGGGGTGATAAACGTTTCGCATTGTGCACAACATGGCAGCACATAGATTCACAAATGTTCGCGTTTCTACCAAGAAATCTGTGACCTGAGCTTACAGTTCATGTGCCCGTCGTCTAATGTACTCCCTGGAATGGAATGAAAGTCTGAGGTATTTTGTGGGCACACGATTGGCTTCTACGGTTATAGCAGCACCGAAAAAATAGCAAACGAGTATAAGATTACATAAAGCCAAAAACAAAATTCTTTGAAGTGAATGGTTCAAACCACGAACACACGTTAAGGAATTTGCCTAGTTCGTATTTTTGGTCCGGTATTGACTCCAATCAAACGTGTCTGAGCATGAACTCCCATCGTTAGGTTTCGGAGAGGTTAACATAAGCTTGATTTTTACATGTTCCTAAATGGACAATTGGTTATCAGAGTTATCAGTTAGAATGTTTTGATAATTGAACGACTTATCAGGAATTTAGTAGGTTTTGTAAACCAATGTTTAGGTGAACCAATTTTGCCTGTTTTTGTAGGTCTGTATAATCGAACAAAAAAACCATGAAAACTAAACAGTAATGCAGAAAAGCAAACAGCAAGTGAAAGTAAACGCTCAAAACAAATAAGACTTGGTCTTAACCGGTCCGTCGATAATGTGGCGCGCACAAACTTTTAAAGGCATTAATTTGCAGGGAACTTGCCTGCAATTCCCGATGAAGATGTGGTAGCTTTCCGGCGGTAATTGCTTTTTCAACCTTTGCTGAGAAAGAAATTGCCTCTCGAAGTGCAAGAATTTGTCCAGGATACTCCGAAGGGTCAAGACGGCTGCTTAAAGATTCTGACAGCGCAGTAGAGAGCGTGGAACGCATCTCTGTCTCCAATTGTCTAAGCCACTTTTCCACTTCACTATCAACCATTACGGTATTATTGAGGCGCACCACCTCGCCTTCCTGTGAGCAGAAGGCAGAAATTCGTATTTCATTTCCTTTGTTGCAAAGTTGGACACAATGAATGGCCTGGAAGAGCTTTCTTAAGTGCATTTGTATAACGGTGGGACTTGCAGAGTGACCCAGAAGTTCTAGGAGGTCGTCGTCGCCGAGGAAGTAAAAGCGTGGAAAGAGACTGCGCTTTTCTTCAAGGTATTCGTTCAGCGCTCTCTGACAGCGGGTGAGTTGATCCTACATTAGCAAATAAATGAATCTTGAAGCACAAATATTGCGACACTCTAGAAAAAGTGCCCACAAGAAGACTTGACCACCCACCAGCAAATTGTTCAGCATGTCACGAAGTTCGTTTTCGCGACGCCCATTGATTAAACTGATAACTCGATTATCCGCTTCAATGCCAGTCAACAGATTTCTAAAATCGACATCAATCCGACAGAAACGTGAGGCTTCTCGTGTTATAGCACCTCCTCCAAAGATCGGTTCGAGGTAAACCCAACGACGTTGAACCTGCTGTAGCCCGGTTATGCCAGTATCGAGCTCAGCAAGCCTCTTTTCCCATGCATTCACACGGTCCGCGAAGCGTTCGGAGTAGGGAGATCCTTGCAATGATGCGAGAAGTGCCTGGTTGTCACCTAACTGGAAAAAAACATCTTAGAGCCGGTGAGAGTGAATGGACACTGAGTTCAGGCAGGTGTGTAACGTAATGATGAGCTTTAATTATCACAGCAGGTAGCTGAGTTCCAACGAAACTGTGCACCTAAATACATCTGCCTTCGAAATAATTTGCCATCGATATTTATCAGACGTCCCTTAGGATTAAATGGGTAGGTCTGATAGAAATATATTTCTCCCCTGTTCTGAGACAAAATTCCGATGCGTGTAGAATATTAAATCATGCCTTATGAGCCAAATATGAGCTTCCGTCACATGGTCGATTTCAATGACCTTCTAGGTGAATCATATGCTTGAATTTAAGACGATTATTGGCGTTGCCGCTAAGAGTCCATGAAAATTTAAGCACATAAACGGTGAAGGATTATCAGTAAGGACATTGGCTTAATACTAAAACCACGCAACAGGTTAGTATACATGGACCCGATTTGTGGTAAATTGAAGCTTGCTCGAGCTTTAGATAGCCAAATTGGAACTTATGTGTAGAGGCTACTAATTCGACTCAGGAAAAAGTATAAGCATGGATAAGGCTTCTTGTCTTTTAGGCATCCTTTTAAATGTAGCTCAATGATTTACTTTGCACATTCTGCCACAGCATAACAAACATCCAATCATGTGTCTCCTAAATTGACGCAGAAGTTCAGACTCCCCCAAATCCAGGAGTGAGCAAAGACGAGTGAAAACGACAAGGACGT